GTAGGAGGAGTACATAATACTGACATAATACCTTATTTTATTTATTAAATAATCTTTACCATCTGTATTATTATTAACACTGTTCCGATATCCCAATGAAGCTCTTATATTGCTCATGCGAAAGAAATAATGCTGTCGGGAACACATCCCCATATAATGACCGCTTTTAGCGCCGATTCGATTCACGCTCACTTCTCCAGGAACGCATCTTGAGCACTAAATAAGGTTTGCCTGTATAGTGGCTTTGCAAGAGTGACAGTCTGCCAGAAGGGGGCGATAATTGATATGTATAATCCCAATGAATTACTTTTCAAATTTGCCAAATGTCCTTTTTACAATGTCGGGGAATCTTTAATGTCCATTGTGAAGCAGACGGTGAATATCATTGTCTATTACACCTATGGGTAATAATCAGGGCGACAACTGCATTCGAACTGTGAACCGCTGCAATGAGCGGCAAACGCGCTACTGCTGGGCTCATGTCACCACCCGTTAGTGTTAAAACACTACTTTTTATATCGCTTGCTGTGGAATGCCCCATATTGGGCTTTTTATAATACTTTAAAACTATGTAGGGATTGCGATTTAACTGGTGTAGATGTCCTTTGTGTACTGCTGTTTTGTTATATGTTGTGGCTCAATGGACAAGAATACATTATGTTTAATTGTGACCGTGGTAGGAAAATTTTTGCATTTTTGAACGAGGCAAATATATGGCTTTTGTAATGTTGTTTTGTGCTAACTGTAATAGAAAATATTTCCTTCACACCAACTATTTCCAGATGTGTGTAATTAAACAATTGCAAACATTTCATTACAATACAAAAACATTGGGTTGTATTTTTTTGGCGAACAAAAAGCATATTTTTTCGGAATGTTGGATAGGGCATCCTGTCCAGACATTTTTTGTGCTGAGAATGATCATGAAGTGGGAAAAAAATGCGACCCTGAAATGAAATATCAGTTCATATTATAGGAAAGATCATTAGGGAACACTATTATCCTCATTAAAAAATATGTCTATGCAAGGCCATCAAAATATGTGCATCATATGTTCTTTTAAAATATGAAAGTATAAAAACAATTTACCAACCGATATTTCAAACGATAGAATATGTATGGAACACTGAAAATATCTGAATCAGAATATTTATTTATACTGGAGAAATCTGATGAGCGAAAAGCTCGTTCACAGATGTAGGATATCTGGGAAAACAGTAGGATATCTTTGTTCATTCAATATATGATTTAATGAACAAAGTGAGTAAGCTTTAAATGCTCTGCCAAATGTGTTATTTTGGAATTACCCTATTCAAAAGCAGCCAAATTAAGTCACGGGTTTACAAATGTTTTAGTGCGTGTGACATAATTTCCCATGTGTCCTTGCAAGTGACATAACTTCACAACATGGCGTGTCAAGCCTTTTTATTTTCTATCTCGTAGCATTCCGTAGCCTTGCAGACTATTGCTATCCATATGCCTGATGTGAGCACTACCATTATTATTGGAATTATGAAATGCTTACGAGGACAAACATGTTGGAAATTATGTATAACATTAATTACCTTATTTTCATTCTGGATCATACTTTTGTCAAGTTCTGAGGATTTTTTTTTGCATTTTGAAGGATATTTGAAAAAACAACAGGGTCATACTGAGATATACAAAATAACGGCTTATTTGACCTCCTTAATTAGATCAGTGGAGCAGCAGGTACACTAGTCAGTGGCTACATAATGCAATGTTCTAGTTGCAGTCTAAAGTAAGGTTGTCAGAATCGTTTTTTGCATGGTATGTCTATTAAAAATCTTTCACACCTTACGTAGTCAACCGTGCTAATCGTAGGTGCGTTATTGATAACATAAAGAAATGTCTTGCAAAAAACATAGTATTTCAACTTCTAACTGATAAATTATAAGAGCTGCTATGGTGTAATGTTCTGGCTCACTGTATTTGGAATCCAGATATCTCTGGTTTGATTAGATCTCCCGGCTCAGCAGTGGAAACAATGGAGTAAGGTTATTAAATTCCCCTGCCTGTCCACCCATTGAGCATAAATGGGTACACTATAGTTAAGTCGATTGGCGGGTCGTGTGTGTTGGGGTAAATTATGGGTACGCCCACCGCTTCCAATACGCCTAGTTAGCATTGAAGAGTAGACCAAATACCGATAATTGTTTTTTTACCCTTTTAACTGGCAACAAAATTGACACCTTTTTTTACATGGAGTCATGTTCGCATTGACCACAATACCTGCGGTCGGAATGAAAACAAAAAACACAACTCTGATAATGTATGCACTGTCCTTGAAATTGATTGGTCCACACCCGAGACTAGGCTCCAAGAAAAGCTGTCTCAGGTGTGGACCAATCAATTTCAAGGACAGTGCATACATTATCAGAGTTGTGTTTTTTGTTTGCATTCCGACCGCAGGTATTGTGGTCAATGCAAACATGACTCCTTGTAAAAAAAGGTGTCAGTTTTGTTGCCAGATAAAAGGGTAAAACAACAATTATCATATTTTGCTACTGGCAAAGGAGGTTCCAATGGTAGACCAAATACCCTCTAGAGCTCCCTCTGCTGGAAGCCTTTCTGGAAAACAGCATTATCAACAAATTTTGGCAATTGATGTATTCACTATTAAAATTCCACTGGAATCGATTACATATTCATGACTTTTGGAATCAGTCGATTTAAAAAACGGTTATGGGTTTACCGATTATCTTTTCACAACCATAAAAACAACACAATACATTTTTGAAATACAAAAATCCCTAGCCAACCGCGGGGGGTTAGGTTCCGGGAAAATGCCGCGGTAGGCAAATCTTTATGCCAAACATAATTTTTATACTAATTCTGTGCTTTGGGCCATGGTTTATGTAAATATTAATATTTGATACATTTAACATTTTATCTAGGTTTCACAGCCTTAAACTAAAAGTAATTAATGAAATACAGCTGTGCATTATAAAAGCAAAAAATCAAAGTGCATCCTCCATACATTTCAAAATCTATTGTCGCGTTATGAAACACCATATTTGTACATCAAAAGATGCAATGAAGTCACATTTTATGCTCCTACCCAGAAAATGAAAATGTTTTCCTCTTATGTAGACTACTAAATGGTTCTGTGCAGGAATCCTGCATGCAGCGCTTTGCAACAGTGTTTTGCAACCATGTTCCACGGCAAAGTCGCAGGTGTGCCGTGGTATTTTTGGACTTATCGGAAAAGCGAGAACCTCACTTCACAAGCCAGGACAGACAAACTCGCTGTGCCATTCAGTGGCTGATTCGGCCCCCCAACTTCCACCCTCTCCTCTTCACTGGTCGCAGCGCAGTGCGGCAGACAGCCATTAGCCTCTCAACTCCCTTTGTCGGGCATGCACAGTTGGGATTTCTTGGTTTGGCGTGCCACTAACATTTTGCAAACTCATATATGAGTTTAAAGGTTGCCTCTTATAACGCTATTTTGTTATCATGCTTTTTATCCTAGAGGAATATTCCCACACGGATCAGCCCATATATGGAAGAAATGCAGAGATGGCGTTAACCGTAAGGGCATGTCTTTGTCAATATATGGTCTATTGTATTAATTCTGCTCATAGTCGATCCGACAGCCACGTTAAAGTATCGATTTGGCGATGGTTAATTACTGCATCGATTCATTGGCGAACCATGGATTGAGCAATCCCATTGGTTAGTATAGCTTCCCGTGGAACGTGCGTTTATGGCAGATGGTGGTTAATCTTACGTCAGCACAGACTGAATGCACTAGTGGGGTGCATAATTGATTGTATTTTTTATATCATTAAAAGTTATTTTTATTTCTAAAATTATTTTAAATTAATGTATCTTGTGTACCAATAACATTATTAAGATTATGACCGATACCTCAATAGAACCTTCATATTTTGCTCTGGTAAAAAATTGCGCTGTCAGAATGCAATTTCATTGCAATCATGTTATAGTGACCTATAGCGCTGTTTCATATAGCCCTCCATTTAACAAGAACACATCCTGAGTGCCATAAGCGGTATGCCTGTATATCAGTGTCCGGGAGGGGTCCAGGGCTAGGGAAGGATGTGTGAAGGGAGTGGAACCTTGGGGAGCTGTAGGTGAGGGGGCAAATATTGCGATGAGTTCCCGTGCACGTGAGAGAGGGGGGACGCACCTGGAGGTGGGCATGTTGGTGGGGGTGAACCATCGTTCGATGACGATAACTTTCACTAGCTTTACCATAAATGTTTTTAATGGTCTGCGCAATGCACTATGCAAACTCTGTGAAGTGTTTAATGAGTGCATCTGCAGATATAATTGTGGAGATGCAATTATAATTGCAGAGCTGCAAAGGTAGGTGAAATGCATATTTTTTATTTTGCATCTGCACAGATCAGCTGTGCTGATGTGATTTATTTACGAGAATTAATAATTTTTCTTTTAGACTTCAATATTAAGTAAAAATAAATCCTTGACCTTAGACCAATATTGCAGATTTGTACCATTTGGTTTCTCATAAAAAAAAACTTGTAGCTAGATAGATTGAGCTGCTAGTCACATGCTGCTGTTCCCCTGTAATCGCATGTTTTTACGTGAATGAATAGAATTGCACAGCTCATTGCTCCAGTAATATTTGCCACACTGCGACTGAACATTTTTTTGTGGATGTTAGGGCTAACATCAACAGTGCGCTGCGATATGGTGCTCCCATATCACCACAATATATTGGAGTTATGCTATGTATTACATCACTTTTTTCTTTTGATGTATGCAATTCTTGATTACATATTTAAAAAAATAACAATATTCTAAAATGCATAAAAAAAAATCTATATTTAGAAAATACAATGTCCGAAAATAATTCCATATTACAGTTAACTGGAATATTGGGGTTTAAAAAAATTAATATTGACAAATAGTTACATAAACATGCCGTCAAATATTTAAAAACATTTGATTGTGAATAGTAATATTATTCCCTAAATACAACTTTTGTTTTACAGGTTTAACGCAGACTGCAAAGAAAAGAAGTACAGTGCTGGATGGAACTTTAACCGAAGATGTCTGCCTGTCACTCATTTACCGAGCATGCATGGAAACCAGGCGCATGCAAGAACTGTTTTAAATCAAAGACCCTCCATACGGCTGTGACGGATTCAGAACGAATTGCATTTTCCCGTTCCAACAGATCTGACGTGACCAAAGCTGGAAGTAACAGATTTGCGGTAGTTTTTGAAAGTGGGAGGCAGCCTCCTTCAATTTCTAGTGTAGCTGCAGAAGGCATCAAAATGCATTCTTCAGGTCAGGGTAATATTGGGCTGGAGTCATTAAAAACAGCTTCTGTGAATAAACCTACCATTGCTGTAAGGCCTACTCGTATGTCTTCTGAAGGGAAAGACCTGGGGATGGGTGAAGAACGAGAACAGTCACATTCTGATCAAAGAAGGCCGCTATTTGTATCACCGGTAATTGCAGTTCAGGAAGATGAATTACACCCAGAAAGCAGAGGCGGTACTGGTGGTGTAGGTTCAAGAGCTACTGAATTGCAAGCAGGTGCTCTAGCTTCTGAGCAACGTGGAGCTGGTTCACAAAGTAAGCATAGGCAGACACAAGATTTACAAGGACCTTGTTTATGTCATAGTGGACAAGAACAGCAGGGCTGGAGACAAGCCAGAATGTATAAAGAGACAGGATTTTTGGCCCCGGTGTTGTCAACACATGGCATTGAGAACACTAGGACTACTGAACTAATGTATTCAAACCCAGATGGCTTAAGAGGTTCGCATTTTCAGCATGTGAGTCCAACGCACAGCTCCGAGAGTTCAAAAACGTCACAGTCTACAAGATGTAACCTTCAGGTTGCCAATCAAGAGAAAGACAATCTTAAGGGCCAAGGGTTAGTGCAACATATTCATGTGGCGGAGGGTTGGGAAGACAGCTATTGTGAATCCATTTCACGAATGCCTGTGACAAGTTCTCAGCTTCAGCTGCCTGATTTCCAAGAAGGAGATTTACCAGAGGGTGAACAAGGCGGTGGATTCAGCAAAAAATGGAATACTGTGCCTATGGGCAGAAAGTCAATGGAGCGAGTTTGTGTTTTGGAATACGATGACAGCTATGATGAAATTCTAGAATGTGACCCTCGGAATCCTGCATTAGCTATGTTGTATCCAGAGTTTGGACACAGCCAGGGGACCTTTGAGGCCTCAGATACATCCTCTGATTCTGAGTCCTCTTCATCAGATTTTGCAGAACTGTACCCATACAGCCAGCCAAAAGACTCTTTACAAGCAAATCCAAGCAAACAACCTCCAACTGTTGAAACTGAAAAAGTATGTGAAAAGATAGAAAATAGTCGTGACTTTGAGCCAGATTATGCCACAATTAGTGATGAAGAGAATGCAGAAATACAATTCCACGAGGGTATGAAAGACAATTTAATAACAAAAAAGGCAGAAAAACAGAAGGTTGTCCTTACAATTCATTTGGAAGGCAGGAGTCGCCAGTTGAGTATGGAAGATGATAAAACACAAACTGATAATGCTGTCCAGTCACCAAGAGATCAGTTATTGAAGCCATATAGAGTTGTTAGATCTGAGCCTGTTACAGTTTGCAAGCCTTACACGGTTGTTGATGTGTCGTCTGTAGTGAACGAAAAAGATTCTGAAAATTCAGAAACCAACCAAATGCCAAATTCAGATCCAAAATCAACTACTACATTGCAACCGACTACTGTGTATGCCACACCGCAAGTTATGCCATCCTCGCAGACTGAGAATAAACATGGGGGTAAATTCTATCATGAAATGTGGACTGCCTGCTCTCACAATCCACTAGTTTTGAAAGATAATGGTTCATGTGAAGGATTTCATAGCACAATCAAGGACACTGCATCAGATGTGGAAAATGCACCCATTCCTCCAGAAGATAATGCAGAATTGCAGAATTCTGGCAGTGAAAAGTCAACTGGCTCAAAAGTGACTACAAAAATTATGGATATCTCCTCACCAAAAACATGCGAGATCAAATTTAATAGCTACAACAATGCAGGGATGCCCCCATTTCCTATAATCATTCATGACGAGCCATATTACTCACAAAGCTGCAAGAGGAAAGCAGTGAAGGTTCCCATAGTAATAAATCCAGGCGCATATGACAACCTTTCCTGTTATGAAAGTTTTGTTGGACCAGGAAATGTTCTGAAAAGGGGTAAGGCTAAACTGCCCAAAAATCATCCTTATGAAGAAATTAAAACACCAGCTCTTAGTAGCTTTGAAATCATGAGCAAAGGTAGCTTTAATAATTCGAATAAAAGTGTTTCAGAATTAAAACATGCACACGATTACAAACGTCCTGAAGATACTGTGAAGAGTCTTCTTTCTGAGAGACCACATGTTGTTGAAGATTACAAAAAGTCTTGCACAAGTCAAAGAACAGACGTGCAAAAATGTATGTATGATGAGCCAGAAGTTATCCAAACCAAACTACCGATGGAACCAAAACTGATTCACAATCAACAACCAGATAGCCCATCTGCAGAATCGCCCTCCCATGCTATGCAAGTTGTACGTTCAAAATCATTTAACTTTCAAGTAGCCAGGCCACAAAACTTGTCCTTTTCCAAAATGGATAATGGCAAAACTAATGCTCATACCGCAAAGGGGGCGACCATAAGGGAAAGGATTGAAGCCCTTTCGAGCGCATTCACTACCCAGCCGTCGCATGGATGCTCCCGTAAGAAGTCTCGTGAGGACAGTTCTTCATATTCACCCCCACCTTACAGTACACCTAAGGCACAGGTGAGCAGCAAGAGGAAAGTGATATCTCCACCTCAATCGCCAGAGAAAGATGTGCCCACTTTGATACTGGAACCACAGCCACATGTCGCAAGACAGAAGCCCAAGCGAAAGATATCTCTGAAAAGCCTCTTTAAGTGGCGTAAAGCAGATGATGACGAGGATGACAAGGATAATAAGAGCGTTGAGCAGCAGGTTGCTGTAACTCAGTACTTGGAAATTGAAGTAAATCCATCAAATGAGCATGTTAAAAGTTCAGATGCTGGAGCACATCGTAAAGAGGACGGTGATGTTTTATGGAAATCACAGCATCTACCTCACAGCAGCAATAAGCAAGCCATCAAAATTGCCACGGTGGATGTTGATTTGTTGAATGAAGCTAGAAGTGGTGTAAAAGTTCACCGAGCTGAAGTTGACGTTAAAAAAACTGAGAGTGGAAACGTTATCAGTGCTGCAGTGGAAAAATCGGAAGACGGCATCAACATTTCAAAACATTTCACTTTGTAAGTTATTTTTCTTCTTCCATTCACTTTGCCATTTACTGTCTGTAGTTCAAAGACAATTAAATGTTTTACAGGCTACTGCACCACTACCACATACTGCCCAATACGCTTAGCCATAGAGATGTTTTTTTAAATCATGTCCTTCATTAAATATTTCATCTTATACAATTTGTATTAAAATATTACAAACATACTCTTTGGGTCTTTCGGTAAAGTCACGTCGATAAAAAAATAATAATAAAATCACGTTTCCATCGCAACACAAGCAATTGGAAATATGCACATAATCTAGTGTGGTTTGTTAGAAAGCAGTGGTTCCCAACCTGTGCTCCGCAGACCACTGATAGTGTGCAAGGCTGTGTTAAGTCGTCTGCAGAATTTTCAAGATGTGATTTGTTTTTTCACAAAACACCATATTTTTTTGCTGCATGGTGGTGGTCTGTGAAAAGGGTGTTGAGGTTCAACAGTAGGTCAGTGGTCCAGAAAGTCAGGGGACCACTGTTGTAGAGCATAATCAATTGGATCAAATACCATCTGGTCTTGACACATGCTAGAGCTGTTGGAACTATGACATTGGTTTTTATTCAAGCAGTTTTGCATATTCTTGGGTCTTTCCGTAAACGTCACGTAGATATGATCAAGAAAATAATAAAAAATAACAGAAAACTACGACGTTTCGATCGCAACGCAAGCGGTCGTCAGGAAAAAAAGGCTTTTTTTTCGTAGTTTTCTGTTATTTTTTATTATTTTATTTGAACCTATCTACATGCCTTTACCGAAAGACCAAAGAATATAAATTCCTGCAGTCACGAAAGCTTTAAGTCAATATTCAGTTTTGTATACCCGCTCAATGAAAGACGCAACCCGAAAAAAACGAATCGTTTAATGCTTGCAAGTTTACACCAAGGCAATTTGTCCCAAGCTATCGTACTTGGGATTTAGGATTCGTAAATGATTAAAAAAGACTTTACAATCTTAGTTCAGTCCATCATAGCACTCTCGTGACATAATTGCACTGATGTATTAAAATGCACGGAAGTGATTACAGTGACACCACTGGAACACATAATGGAGCACCTTATCGTAAATTTAATGTATTTTTGTTTATCATTAAACACATACCCTTGTTTGATGTACAGGCCAAGAAAAACAGCCTATTTAATTACTACAAAGTAAGAGTTACATGTTTGTTACGTTGTATTTTTAAGATAAGTTGTATATCTGCAATGGCTGATGGCTGTTCTGGTGTTGGTGGTTTTCACAGCTAGATTTCACATTGCTTGTCTTATTCTTTGGGTCTTTCGGTCAAGTCATGTCGATAGGTTCAAAGAAAATAACAAAAACTACGACGTTTCGATTGCAACACAAGCAGTCACGAAAGCTTTAAGTCAAGATTTTATGCTTGTCTTCTTTAGAAAATATAATCAGGCCTCATGTGGGCACAGAAAATCCGTTTTTGACCCCACAATTATTTAGTTTGTTGGGTGATACTGAAACGGTGTTAGACCAGAGGACGCCAAAAGGCGTTGTTCTTTCGGCGTCCTCTGGTCTAAGGCGTTGTCCTCTGGTCTAACACCGTTTTGAGACGAGGTCAAAAGAAAGCTGTCTCTGGTGTGAACCAATCAGTTTCAAAGACAATGCATATATTATCAGAGTATGTTTTTTTGTTGGCATTCTGACCACAAGTATTGTGGTTAATGCAGACATGATTCCTTGTAAAAGGTTTCAGTTTGGTGTTTTAACATCTCAACACCTGTTTTGTTGCCAGAAAAAAGGGGAAACCCTATTTTCACGAGAAGTTAAATGTTTCAAAATATTGTGCAAAAATGGCACAAGACAGTTTTGTGCCCACCTAAATCAAACACTCAAGCATAATTACAACACGACATGTAAGGTGGCATTACCCATAGCTAAAATGAATGGAACTGAAATATAAACATAAAATAAAAGCTCTTTGTGGTCATGTTTAGTGACCCAGGGAACTCAAATATAGTCATATTAAGGCATACAGCGTTTAGGTGCACAGAAATGCTGCGTGAATGATGGCATTCAAGTGAAGAATACAAATAGGGAGTTCCATCAACAGGAAGTGTGCTTAGAAAACGTCATCAGTCTAGCGAAGCAGTGGATGACACGGTTTTTAGTGCACCCATACAATCCTCGCAGGTGAGATGGGACCACGATCCTGCTCGGGACACGGTCGAGCAAGCTTTTGCTATCCTCTAAACCAGCATTTTGAGTTGGAGAGTAAACCATCAGTGTGATCTTGTAGGTGGTATGTGCTTATGACTAAAACTTTAGGTGTACAAGATGGACAGTAAATAGTGCATTTATTTACCGTCCGAGCGATTGAGTGTTATCTCCCAACATTGTTGTTTTCTGGATAGCCCAGTTTCCTTCCACGTGCTAAGGAGTTTACTAACCGTTCAACACAAACCTCTTGGGGAAATAAAGAGCTTAGAAACATGTTTCCTTCTAGAGAACTACAACTGCAACTTTCCTCTCACATGGATATCTTTTTACACAAACTTGTGCATAACATGAAAGAAAGATGCATGGCTGACAGAAAATATCGAAGATTGTTTGAGTTAACTGGGTAGCCTACTGATGTTACCTGTATGGTCTGTCCAGTCATCTGAGTCAACCCATGGCACTTGGGTCTGTCGCTCGACCTGCCAGCGAGCCTTCGACATTTTACATGGCTTCAGTACACGTCACCCGGCACAGCGTCGTGGTGACAGCACCGCCACTGAGTGGCAAATGGTGGTTGTTGTTGGTTTGTCCATGATTTGAAATCCAACAAATCAATCCCATACTCTTTGGTTCTTTATTTTTCTACCTACGTGACTTTACCGATAGAACCAAAGAGTATGGATTCCTGCAGTCACGAAAGCTTCAAATCAAAATCAATCCCAGTTTAATGTGCTTTGGAAACGGGAATTTAATTCCCAATTTTGAGCAAAAGGATATTCTGTATGCACACATCTACTATAATACAGTGCTTTGTGTATCACTGATGGTAGGGATGTTGATGATAATTAATGTGTTTATAATGTAACGTAGGGAAAACAAACATTAACCTTACCATTTGCCTCGTTTGATGTAGTAATGTTTAATACCCGTGAAAGCTTCCATTGAAAGTGGATACTTACTGAAATAGAGATTTTTAAAAAATGCCTTTTTGTAGTGTTTTTACATGTATACACAGTACAGTGTATGTATGGGGTGAGTTGCAGGAAGTCGCAAGCCTCATGGGTATTGTGTTAGTGTTTTTTACCTCGGCACAATGGGGAGACAGTAGTGAGAAAACAAATCAAATGCACCTTCCTGTATATGCGCTTGGCCGTTTCATATCCTGTCTGAACGTTAGTGCACGCACGTAACTTTATTATGCATTGCTTTAGTGCCTGGCTAGGATTCTCTCTGATGTATTATGTGTATCAGTGCTACATTACTCTTGGAAGAAAATAAGGTATGGGAATAATTCTGTCCAGAGGCATCTCAGGATTAATATTGTGGTGTTGTAACCCACTTACTTTGTGCAGTACATCTACAAAGGAGGCATATGGTGAAGAGTCGCTCGATCCTGCCAGTACAGTGTCAAGCATATCATCGAAAGGGTCTGCACGCACTCTGGAGCCTAAGGACATCGTGTGCCATCAGGACACGGGGATGGCTCAGGCTGTCGGCCATGCAGCCACTTACAGCAACTTGGGTAAGTATCATGACTCTTCACCGAACTGCGACATCACATTGAATGAAGGTGCTGCAATGTTTATCTAATAGCTAACAACACATTATTAACTGTATTTAATATTTTTCTGAACAAAAATTAAACCTGTTATTATTTTGAATAATCAACTAGATGCAAATAATACCTATTTCTATGGTGCGGATTGAAGTTTGTTAAATTGTGATAAAATAATCTGATTAAAATTGAAAACACCTAACATGGTCACATCACTTAAACGTGTGTTCACAATAACATGCATCCGTTTCTTTCAGGCTCTTCAAGGGCCAACGTAATCCCAGTCAAGCAGGGGCGCCAGCATAAAGGGGCCATAACTGACGCCATTGCTTTTGTTGCTGTGGCGAAGGAGAAGTCGGAAGTGCATGACACCCCTCCGCCCCTGCCTAAGAAACAGCGTGCCAAAGCTGTCTTGACTGCAGACCCAGCAGGAGCATCGATTTCTGCAGATAATGTAGACCTCAAATCTATTTTTAACCCCCTCTATATTGTTGAGGAAGAACGAAAAGCTTGCAGCACACAATCTTTTGTTTCTAATGGCGCAGATGAAAATGCATCAAAGGGAAAATGTATGACAATCTTAGAGGGTCCAGTTTCTGAAACCACTCGCATAAAAGATCATGTTTCCTGTACAGATCAGAAGAAAGGTATAGTTTACACAGTATCAGAAAAAGATACACTACTAAAGGTTGATGATGACCCGTCATGCATATATACCAAAGTTCGTGACAAATCGAAATCCATTAAAGGGAATGTATACTCTAAGCCACAAAATAAATCCCTTCTTGGCAGTGCTAGTGCTGTTCAGCTTGCGATTGCTGAAGATATATTGGAAAAGACAGCCCAGAGCTTGGAGAGTGGAAGCAAACCTGCAAACTTTCTATTGACCACTAAAGGACAGGAGCAGAAAGACACAGGGGTGGGTACAACAGTGCCAGCTATGTTGTATGAAGGACTGGAAAGCTCTGAAGAGGTGTTTGCCCGGATTGGTAGCCTGCATGCAGAGACTCTGCATGTGTTGTGTGCAAAGTGTGAAGACAACTTCATGCGTGGCCAGAAGGAACATCTTCGCTTTGGCGTAGAGAGCTGGTCCAATTTCAAGCTAACCAGTGACAAGCCCTGCTGTGATGCCGGCGATGCTGTTTATTATACAGCTTCCTATGCCAAAGATCATGGGCATTTGTACGCAGTTAAGGTAAGTTCATTCTTAACTTGTGATGTTTTTAAAAAGTCTTGCAGTAATAATGTATGTCCCTTTGCCAATCTATTGCTAGATTAATGTGTTGCTATGCCGTATTGCTTATATAAATGTTGTTTGGCAGCAAGTAGCCACGCTGGTCAATGCAGATTGATGAAGGGTAGGCCCAGGACAGATATCGCTCGGCAATTAAGCTAGCCATGGCTGAGAATGAAATTCGGATTAATGGGTTTATAAAGCACAACTGCACAACCTCTACACCCCTTGCAGTAATATACCCATCATAATAAATACTAATTAAAGAGGAAATTGGTTAATTGTTGTGATCTTCAATTAATCCAAACAGTAAAACCTATTAAGACTCGACAGTAGTCAGCCAGAATTTGTGCAAGCTCAAAAGGTGACCTGAAAATAGTTAAAAATATTTTTTAGATATAAACCAAACTCTGACGCGCCATGCTAATGATGGTGAGGAGATTCGAGAGATGCGTTTCTTAACATGAAGTGTAAGTCGATTTTTCCCCAGCTACAGAGAACTGCATTTTGCACCGGAATTTATAAAGGTTTTACACTTCTGTTTGTAAGGAGTTTGGTGAACCCATTTCCTTTGGATGCCATGTGCTCTGAGTGCTCTCATCATTTCATTCATTTAGCAAGTATACATTACATACGTGCCCAAAGAGAAACTCTTCAGCCTTCCACATCAAATGAACCTCAGCCTGCCATCTGCTTCATTGTGATAGTGACTTGGATATGGTTAAGGTGTTAACTTTTTCATCTTACTAGTTGAGAACGTATTTGCTTTGCAACAGAAATGAGAGACGAACGTCATGTTCATATTCTTCTCACAATCCTGGACTCGGAGCACTAAGAGTAATTTACCTTTTAAAATAATAAAATCTTGCATGGTGAGTTTTTTTTTATATTATCCAGGATTTAAAGAATATTTTGGTGAAACAATTACATTTATAGGATGATAGATTGGAACACAGCAATGTAAAATTAACCGTGTCGTCCAATCTTCTTCTGCCAATTCAACTGATTGATTATTTGTTCCACAGAAAATCCCATTTAGTTCGTAATCCTGCTAGTTTCGATGGCAACGGCCTGCATTCACTCACAATACAGTTGTTGTTGAGTTGCAGAGGAGTCCAGCCAGCCAAGGAAACCCGTGACATAGATAATTGTACAATTATATTGACTCCTCTTTTCAGGTTGTATGCCCTGAGCAGGTTGAAATTTGACCAGCCTTGGTTTTGGTTACTAATTATATTTTGTAACGTTTTGAAGCTACTGTGTAATTGTAATGGTATATATTTTGTTGTTTTCAGATATGTAAGATCGAGGGGAAAGACTCTCAACAGCAATACTATCACAGCCTGGCTGTGCGGCAGAGCCTCCCCGTGCACTTCAATGTGCAGCAGGACTGCGGCCACTTTGTGGCCGATGTCCCGGAAAGGCTGCTACCATGTGACTGTGCTGCTGCCAGTCTTCGAGATGGGAACCCAGTGTGTACTCAGACAGCGGATCAGGCGAACTCTCAGCCACCGGACCTATCCTCGGTAGACTCGTCTGGTCAGAGCAGGGTGGTGGTGATCACACGAGAGGTACCTTGCAGCAATGTGGCTGATCTGATCCGAGGCTCGGTGAACCTGCACCGCTCCCAGCCAGAGCTCTACGAAAGGCAGGTCAGTGTCATCTGCTGGTATTTTGTAAGGTTGAAGAAAGGTTAATATGTTAAATGTTTGCATTCCTACTTAATTTGTCTCCTAATTTATTTCAATGTCAGGCCCTTTATGTCCACCTGAGCCATAGGTGGACATGTGACAATGCTATAGAGCCCGCCATTTTGTGTGATCGCTTTGCAGGTATGAGGTAGAAATAGTGTAAGGTGATAGATCAAAAGATGTACAGAGGGCTCAGAAAGTGCACCATGCACAGTAAACGATGTTGGTGCCTTTGGCAAGAAAAGGCATAGGGAAAAGTATTGATCTAGAGCGTAAATTATAAGTCTTAAAGCATTTTGAAGCAGTTAAGGCAGTTAATATTGCCAGAATGCTTGTCCTAGCCACGACCTCGGTGAGAATTTTTTGAGTTAATGCAGGAACAATTCTAGAACATCCTCAAAAGATGGCACCTTTAACTGCTACTAAAATTACTCGTATAGCAGATGTAGCATTCTAGAAAATATGGAAGGACTTTTAATTGTCTGGATTGCAGATTGAAATCAGTGTATTTCTTATGAGTTAAAATGTAAGCCAACTTATAATCATATCCATTTTTGTAGCCTTCGTGACATTTTTTCACACGTTTATTTTTACAGAAATGTCAGCGAGGAATGCAACCCCTGATTTGAACATTGTCTGAGAAATTAGAGTTTGCTTTAAGAAATTTCGAGTGAAGTAGCATTTCCCATTAACGCATCCCTTACCTACAATGAGTTATTACGATATTTTCTTCTTAAATCCTTTATATTAAGTTCGCGTGCTTGCTTGCGTGCTTGCTTACGACCGTGCAAATCTTTCGGTCGTTTTTTAACCCACTTCCCGTGATCCAATCGAGCTGATATTTTCCACACAGACTCGTTGTGCCAGACAATTAATGTTCGTGAAAAAAAATTCCCAAAATTTTACACTTTTTAGGCAAAATTTTTTTCTTTTACATATATTCAAATAGAACTCATTCTTGGCTTTGGTTGAACGTCACAGTATAAGAGCCCAGAGCGTAACCCCTCCACAGGCCGTGGCGGAGTAGCGCAGTTGGTAGCGCCCTCGCTTCCCATGCCAAAGGTCGCGGGATCGATCCCCGCGTCCTCCACAGGTGAATATATTTTTAATCCTTTATATTAAGTTCGCTGCCATGCATATAAAGGATTTATAGTGAAAAACTTTGTTTTTACGGGTTATACTTATTTTTGAAGTGATGTTCTCGGCTGCATAACATGATTTTTATTTATATTATTGCCTCTCTTATCCCAATATACAGGGTGCTTCAAAAATGTTAACACATATACGGGGCTATCGTTTCTAATGGAAAAAGAACGGATAATACACTCACATGATAACAAATGTATGTTAATAGCTTCAAAAAGTCAGTCTCCACTCGTTTGCCATCATTGTCAACACATGCCTGGAATCTTCTCCAGGTGGTCTCTCGAGCCTAGAGGCACATTTCTCGTGGTATTGTTGCAAATTCTCCTAAGTGTTAACATTTTTTGAAGCGCCCTGTAAATCTCCCAGTATGACTATGTATGAATGCATTGCATGAATTCCCTGGTAAGGTGTACATTTTCATCAACATCTGAATGAGTCTAAGCACTAGCTTGTCTCTCCTACAGGTATGCCTTCTACTGCTTCAGCTGTGCTATGCACTTGAGCACTTAAAACGGCATCATGTGAGCCATAGTGACCTACGAATGGAAAATCTATTGCTGGTGAGCGGACAGAGTGCTGGGCCACCAGGACACAAGGGCATCGAGTCTCTTGGTGCGGAGCTGCCCCGACTCATCGTCAGCAATTTCTCCCAGGCTAAGCAGCAGTTGCGCGTGGGGGCACTGGCACCAGAAATGCTACGAGCAGAGTCGCGCCTCGCGCCCGAGCTCACTACCGCAAGCCAGTACCGAAAATGTGATGAGTTCCAGACTGGCATCCTGGTCTACGAAATGCTGCACCTTCAAAATCCATTTGCTGAGCGGCCTGAGCTGCGTGAGAGAGACTACAACCCGAAGGTTAGTCATGGCTTGACATGGAACAATGGATCACGTGATTTTGTTCAACTTTACATGTTACACCATATACCAAAGCTGCACCCAGCAACAAGGACTTCAGTGTTTTTCAGTCCACAACCAATTTTTTTTGCTTTTTGTTGTATAATTAAAGGTTTAAAATGTCTTAAAGTAAAACCTATCTTAAGATCCAGAAAACAAACATTCCTTTTTTGTATCTGCAACATTGGCACAGCCGAGGTACAAAATCACCACCACCTATCTTTCCCTGTCAGCTTTTCAGGGGGTAAAATGCTCAATTAGTCTTAAGTTATGAGTAATTTTCATAACTATTGTACACTTTATAATGGTAACATATGGGGTATACATTAACTAGCACCTTACATCTTCTTGGTTCTTTCGGTAAAGTCACGTAGAAGGGAAGTAATCAAATAATAAAAATAAAACATAAAATAATTCTCATGACGTTTCGGCCACAACACAAGCAGCCGTCCTCAGGTGAAGAAACAGGTCTGTCGAGAAGACAGCGTCTGAATGACACGCCCCAGGCTTGGAGTGTCATTCATACATACATGCATAATTAATATAAATGCCTAGTACACAGCTTATCTGCAATGAGGATTTCGTGTCAGTTTCGATTATAAGGGTGGTTCAAGGTTAACCTGCTGTTATTCTACAAAATTGGAGTGTGAAGTGAATAAAACATACCCTTTTTTCCCAACGTACAATCAAACTCAGTTTATCCGTGATCCGATTATCTGATTTTGTTTTCTATTCTACAAAAAAGCCAGTTCTCGCTTCCAAATATCTGGGGTTATCCAGGGTTATCCGTGGTAAAGTGGGTGAACAGACTAGGACCTCTTCCGTCCGCCAATTCAGGTACAGATGCTATTGTCGACGCAGCGATTTCTACACCGCATTGTTGAGGTGTGCTAGCTCCCTTCCAATACCCATCACTCAGAAGCAATTGCTCAATTGTAGCAGCACTTGAAATGCCTGCAGTCAGTGCTGCATTCACTGTTAGCCACCAGTGAATGGGAACGGAGCTTGCTTGCCATCATGTTAGAGACCCTGTGTAAGACTGGTGCATGAGAGGTAAGCACCTAATGATTGTGTGACATTGATCTATGATGTAAATGTTGTCACAAAGTTCCTTGAGTCCCCACGTCCTTGCCTGCTGGCCACACTCCATTTCGTGACATTTTTGTCACGTGTCAAAGGTGATTGGGGCTTTTCCAAATATCTTTGGTCGAAACCATGGATAAATGGAGTTATTTGGAAAATTCTTTCAATTATCCGGGGTTGTCCGTGGTCATGCACCCCAGATTAACGAGTTAATCTCCAGTTGGAGCCTCTGGAAATGTGGAACCAGTGTACCCATCCCATTTATCCTGGATAAGCTAAGTTTGACTGTGTGCCCCTGTTACATGTATACATTAGTCTCAGCGGTGTTTTACTGCCTTCATGCTAGAAACATGTAATTCTTAAGGACATAGACTTCATCCATTTCAAGACATCTGCTTTCACGTTCATTTTTGTTGAGCCTTTTGTATCTCTCAAACACTTAATTGTGAGAAATGTGCGTCACTTAACTTACAGCTCACCTCTAACTTTCGGCTGATATCAAAGTTCCCATTCGACGATGCTGTCTCACGGCACGTAACACACTACCTGTTGCCTTTTGTAAAAACCCAAACTGCTTTGGGCAGCAGGGACATAACTTCACACACGAGTTTCTAGATCGTTCCACTTCCTCTCCATAAAACTTTCAGTGATGTAAATCTTTTAGGGTTGCACATTAACCTTAAATCGCCTGATTTTTGGAACTAGCACCTGTGATAATTGCCTTTGACACCACTAAAGGTGTTTTTGTTGTATTATAGAAGCAGTTGAGAACAAGGCACTTAATTTTGATTTAAAGCTTTCGTGACTGCAGGCATTCATATTCTTGGTTCTTTCAGTGAAGTCACGTGGAAGGAAAATAATAAAATAATAAAAATATTAAACAATAACATTCTCACGACGTTTCGACTACGTGACTTTTACTGAAAGAACCAAGAATATAAGGCACTTAATATCAAGGGACATTGTAACACATACTACGATCTTGGGCTGTTACCGCCTGGTCTATTAGACCAAGTAAACATCTGTGTTAGAGTTCAGTTGCATCATGTGTCATGAGGCAGAGGTCAGGCATGGCTTGCGTGTTCCCAGGCTCGACTTGGGATTTTGCTTCAAGGGTTCAGGGTTTGTGTCATCAGCAAAATGAGCCCACTCACTGTCTGTTGGCCGAGCAACTCTGAGCGTGGCTCCATGCCTCAAGAGTCATGGTCATTTAAGTCTGCAAAACGTTGCGCGCATTACACATTCCATTATAATTACTGCCCCTGAAGAGCACTTCTTGAAGGATCCAAAACATCTTATTTGCAAATTAAAGATAAAGGGTTTCCAGCAATGAAGGCTCTCAGCCTGAAGAGGTTGAAGGGAGTGTGTTAGCTTCTGTAGTGTGTTGTTTTTTTTGAAGCTCTGGAATTTTGAAAGGCGCATTCCATACCTTAGGTACCTACTCCATAGGTAGTTGTAGCAGCCGTTCCCTGTCCAAGTGGATATGAGTGGCACATGGATCAATCCCAGTGTTTTTAAAGCCCGTTGCAGGCTTCACAAAGCTGCTGTATGTACGTAGCCAACTGTGCTAATCAGAGGTACAGGGGAAGAACAAACTAAAAACAAAACCGTTCTAAATAAATTAGTTTTCAATCTTGATTTAAAAATGGATAGTTCCAGTGGCTTCCTTCTTGTGGGCTTCACTTTAGTAGAAATATCCTCAGTGCATTCATTAGCCTGCCAATTGTTAATTTGATGACCACCACTTGAAGATTAGTTAGCTCTCTTGTAGTTATTAAACATTTTGGTAAAAATTTTGGTGTCGATGGTTGTGATGTAAAGTGTTACAAAATAAACGTTATGTAGTGTATTTGCATAATACTAGTATTATCTTATCTCAAACGGTGTTAGACCAGAGGACATCTTGGTAATGTAATTTGTATATTGGTGACAATTCCAATATTTAATATTAAGACTGAATAACCGTAGCTGAACATATGTGTTGATAAAAATCCAACTGACATTGGCACGTATTTCGAATATATGGCTGTATTAAGAAGTGTATTTTGTTTTGTGTCATGTGTCTGTCAGGACCTGCCTGCAATGCCCACACTGTCGGTGTATTCCTATGGTCTGGAGCAGCTAGCTCACTTGCTACTCCTTCCCAACCCCATGGAGCGCATCCACATCTCACAAGGCCGCGGCTTGTTGCAGTGTCTGCTGTGGGGGCCCCGGTACCAACTCCTCAACAAAATAATGTTGAGCACAAGCGACCCATGCACACTGGAAGAACCCAGTGAGCAGCATCATAGCCTAGCAGAAGGCAGTGGCACGGGTAGGCCAGCCCGGCAAGTGCATTTGGTAGGAAGCAAAGCGGCGCACGAGCAGCAGTCCACAGGGCTCGTGAACAGAGAGGTTGTTCTGCAAAACTGGCTGGAGTTGAAACGCACACTTCTCACCATCTGTTTTGCTGAGAAATATCTAGAACATGAGCATATCATCCGGCTTGAAGACTGGTTGTGCTGCCAGTACTTTGCATTTGCCACCCCAGCCTCAGTCTATCAAGCCCTCAGGCTAATGCAAGCAGAATGAGCGTTCATGAACATTGACATTTAGTTTTTTAATGGACTGTATTGGTTTCTTTAACTTAGCCCATGATCTGTGTTAAAAGGGGTGGAATACAGTTTTGTTTTGTTTCACATTGATGAATACACTCCATTTGCCTCAATTTTCTGATCAACCTAAAACACAGAACTGCTCTTATCCACAACAGCTGTAGAATCTGCAAAAAACTCCTATTATCCATGGCTCTCCTCTTCCTGTTATCATAAACTTTCTCATAAGTATTTGCAAAACGGCATCTTATTATCCTCGATTATTTTTTTCATGGATAAGAGAAATTGCATGGCAAACATACCATATTGTCCATGGGTTATCCGTGATTTTTCATTTCATAAAATGTGCTATGATCAAAGCGAGTTCATTGGTGGCATTTGCGATGATGACGCATTGCACGACACAACCCAGACACGCACAGGCAAATAAACTCAGACACGGGGAGACATGCAGACCGAGGCATACAGACACAGACCCTCGCAGACATGAACAGCATTTATTTGCTGCTCTGCTTTAACAAAAGGTCCTTGGCTGCATTTTTTCAATCCTCTCTTCTCTGCTCTCTTCATTTCTACAAACAACTCTCCCTTCAGCTCTTCCATCTAAATCCTTAGCCTTCTCTTCTTTTTAATTCCATTCTTCCTTCTATAATGTCCTTCCTAAAACCAATCCCTTCGTGGAATGTCTAATTCAGATAATTCTCCTTCTGATGACTTCCATTACAATTATTTTTGATGATGCCATTCAATATTTCTTCATTGGTATTATCTTATATACAGCTGACTTTCAACATCCTTCTCCACACCCACACCTCAAAAGCTTTGAACCGTCTCAATCCTTTCTCAGTGTCCTCATTTCCATGCCATGCAAAGCTATGCTCCACACCATCGTATTAACTCTCTTGTTAAGTAAACAATCTTCCGTCTTGCCGAATGGTTCTGCCACCAAGCCTTGATCATATTTCCGCTGCACACTGTTCATATTCTGTGATTAATGCACCGAAGTTCCTGAATATGTTCACATGTTCCCGCAGTTGCCCTTCAATTATAATATACATTGTTCCTACACCTTCCCATTATATTCTCATTACTTGTTTTGTTTATGTTAATATTCATACTGTTTTCCTTTGCATGTTGTTTAACCCATCCATCAACCTTTAAAGTCTTTGTTTGCCACCATCCCTTGATCATTCGCAAACCGTACATCCTTTCAGGTTTGACCTTGATTTTTTTGTATTCTGTTGCCTCAGTTATAATTTTTGCATTAACAGCAAGGCCGGTGATAATGAGCACTCCTGCTCGATTACTGTACTAATAATGCCTGGTTTCATATGTCTGCTACCATGATCACTGATTCCTGTTCCTTACACGGTCGACATATTAATCTCCAGTCTGCCTAGTCCGCCCCTATCTTAAGTATCTCCATCAACATTACCCTTTTTCCATAATAGAGGATTTTGGGTTGGATCGCATAAATATATAAACGTGTCGTTAAAACCCGACACAGCCAACTAGTAAGGGTTGTCACGTTAACAGAACATGCCAATTCGTCACTAGTACAGCATACCGGTGTGTTGGAGAGCCAAGCCACAACATTTACAAACTAAGTACGACGTTTCGCCAGTAATTACAACTAGCTTCAAACCTCTTATGGATGATATTGGTCGCGAAAGCCTCCTGTCAAAGGCCTACTCGAAATCCACAAAGCACACATACAACTAATATCCGAGTTCTATGCCCCTTTCATACAACATTCTCATTACCACTATCACTTCGCATGTCCCGCATATTTTCCTGAAACCGAATTGATTTCTTACAATAACATTTTTTGTCTTTGTATTTATTCTTCTGATGAGCAGTCTTAGCATGATCTCGGATGCATGTGAAACAAGGATAAATGTTCTATGGTCTCCGCACTCCATTGCATTTCTGCTTTTTTTCGAAAGTACCACGGCTATTTTTGTAAACGTTTCTGGACGTTTACCTTGCTAGTACATGCTTTTAAAGAGGAAATGTAGTTTTTGGTCATGTTATTTCCAATGTATTTCAGAAACTTCTGGCAACCCATTTATCCCTTCAACTTTCCTCTTCTTGGGCTTAATGGCTGTTTTTATTCTCTTTATGTTGGGCCCTTTTTATCCATGTCTACTTCTGCTTTCTCTAAACTAATGTCCTCCAGCTTTGGCTTTCCTTCCTCATAACGTTTATATGTGTACCTCTTTCATCTACTTCAAATGTCTTCTGGCTCTTGTCAATATTTCCTCATTCTTCTTTATTTTACTGCTCCCGTCTTAGATATTTCTGACATCTATAACTTTTGCGTACATCAGCTCTGTTCATTCTCTCCTGTCAAGCTCTTCAAGTTCTTTAAGAGACACGCACAAACACACAGACATTGAAAGACACACAGACGGACATGGAGGCGCACACGTGGACAAAGGCAGACACCCACAGAGACATGGATAAACATACAGACATTGATACAAAAAGAGAGACGTGGAGATGCATAAGAAACAGACATGGAGACATTCACAGAAACAAGAGACACGCAAAACAAAGAGAGATGCACAAAGACCGACCTCCCCCACAGCTACTGGTAGTATCTGTGCTATTTCGTGGATAAGAGTCACCGGTGTAGCAAATTCATCCTATTATCTGAATTTAACCCAAGGATAAGCAGAGTAAATTTACGGATAATAGAATCCATTATTCGAGTCTCCTACATTACCACGGATAAGAGGTGTTATTTCATATTTAATTGCAGTTATTTCACATCCAGAGAGTTATAATTTAAGATGATTACATTTTAGTTATTTTTATTCGCTTATTATAGAGTGGGTTGTGGGAAAGGGCCTCTTAGTCTATCTGGTCTAGCACTGATAGTGGTCTGCATTAGCAACTATAACTTGAATTATCCTCTAGCTGCACTCTTCCCTCAGCCCCTCAATGTGAACCAGTTAAAGTATTAGTCATAAATATTTCTCAAGTCCTAAGTAAAAATGTTTGCAGTACTATATAAGAAGGATTTTAGGAATAAAATGTATTGGACATCTTTACTATAGAAACTAACATGTGGGGACATTGTTGGTTTATATTTATATACTATGAAGTAGGTTGTGATAGGGTTGTAACAAGAAATGTTGATAACAGTATTTTGCATTTTAGTGATTTTTTTTTACAATTTTCAACATTATCTCATAATGTTGATATATTTTCAACATGAACCAAATCAATGAAAATCAATTCGGCAGTTTTAAATGTTTTATTGTGCCACACGTTTTACTTTGGCTGTGGCAAGTGTGCCAATTAAAAAAATAAACAATGACTAAATCTCAAGGTTGGTTTCCTGGAGTGCTAAAATCAGTAGAAATGCAATTAGAAAGTTTGAGTTGCAATATGATTTAAAGCACATGTGTGCTTTACCAAACAAAAATGTGCCTTGGGCTAATGCATTTGATTGCACATTTGAAAGGTAGGATTGTTGTGTAGGATGTGTGACCTGCAGTTCTACCAGATGGTTAATGTTGCCTTTATGCATTGGTTTTACACCAATATGTACTTTTGCTTTTATACATAAACAGTGCTTGTGCCTTTGAGAACATATACTGTGTTAACCAAAAATATAACCTTCATTGAAGCAATAACTGATTTTTTTTTATATATATCAATTAGGATATGCTGCTGTTTCATTGTTTAATAGCAATATTTCAGTTAAGTAGTGTAATTTTAGATACTACAGTCCTCTGGTAGTTATCCTTTTTGGTGCTATAAATAAGCCACATATGAAGTGTCTTATGTACATTGTTTTACTGCATTGTTACTTGATATTTCCAAAAGCTTTTTGTATTAAACTTGCACCTTATATGGATTGCGTGAGAGTCTTTTGAAGTGTAATGTTTGCTGGTAATATTTGAATTTATATATTCATATCGGTCTTGTTCTTTATGATTTGTGAAGTTAAGTTTCACATTTGCTTCCCTTGTGTAGTGCGATGTTTGGAAACAATACACTAATTACATAATTTGTCAAACAATAAGTCAAAATGTTATAACTATGTAATTTGTATGGTTCCACCATTTAACACATCACGCGTTTTTGCAAACCTAATTTCAACTGTTCAGAATGTTTTTAAATCCTCATTAATATTTAATTGGGTGAACTGTTTAGAGTGCTAAAAATGTATTACCCTTTTTATGGACTGCTCACAGTTCATTCATTTTAGTTAGAACTAGTCACTTAATTTGGCCACTTGCATTCAACACTAAGATGCAAGTCTTTAGCATATAGAGAGTGCTACATGATATATTCGACAACATTTTATTGTTCATGTACAGCAGGTGTTTTGCCCAAGACATTGGATAGGCAATGATTTGGCAGTTTTAAATATGGAAGCTTGACAGTGGGCCATTCAGCTAAGCATTTCAAAAAGCTGATATCCATGGGCAGGGATGGGCCTTGTGTACCCAAATCACATGTCAGTAGGAAATGGAAATATTGAGGTAGATCTATGTTTAGGTAACGTGCTCTATAATGCTTAATGTATCACTGGAGTTAACACACTCCATATATGCTGGCAAGGTAATGCCACGGGAGTATTACCTTTTTCAAGCTCTGCAACAACTGTTCCCGGCAGCTTTACGCAAAAAGAGGGACACATTGTCTTCAGTTAACAGGACGTATGGTAAGAGGAGGGTTCGATAAACAGCATTAAAATAATTTTATTTTTAACAGTGGTTTCTACTATTTAGAGAAGATATGAAGTATTGTGCAGTAACCAATTTATGTTAGATATAGGAACTGCAAGACTCAAAAGGCAGAAAATACTTAAGAGTTGCGTAAACAAGTAACGCTCTAAAAAGATAGATTATAAAGTGACTGGCTGAAACATGATATAATGGCAGGGAGTTTTCTATTGAAAGATGCTGAACAAATATTTAAAGTCCATGGGTCACAGCAAAAATCGGTACCACCTATGGTTGAAAAGCTGCTTAACCCAAGCTCTTAATGCTTTGGTGTTTGCATCGGCCTTGTACTGTTTGCCTTTTGGTGTCCTTTGGTCTAGCACTGGTGAGACCAAGCCATAATAAAAGAGGTTATAGAGGCCAATCAGTTTCATGGACAATGAACACAAAGCATATTTTGCATGTTTTACCGCAAGTATGTGGTTAATGCAGAATTGATGCCTTGTCATAGGTGTCTATTTAATGTTTGAACTTCTTAACACTTGTATTTATTAAAGCCTCTCTTCAATCAAAATTTAACACTTTTAGTTACATCTGATTACATTTCAGCACAAGTTGAGAATGATTTCCACATTTGGCACGAGGATTGAAACACTTGGGAGTGCTGCAGGTGATTTTGCAGCTCGTAGAATTCCTACCCCGAACTAAAAGCTAAAGTATAGTAAAGCCATCATTCGTGACCTACCTGACAGGCAATTTAAACGCATTGTGCTTCAGCATGAATGACCAAGGCTGAGGAAATCATAGCAATGTATCTGTAAGATATTTTTGGTTTCCGGAAACTTCTTTAGGAGCCGAATTCAGTTCCACATCGTGGCTGAACAACATGGTTCCAATCGTCGATACCTGAGACTGGAAACCATAAGAAAAATTATTCACAGTTCAATATGCTCAAGGCTTTAAAGGCCTCAACACAAATGTGCTATGTAATTTGGTTCCATGCATTGTTTATACTATAAATTAATAAGAATGTAATCATATGCATATCGTATGCGCTCCAGTAACTAATCTCACATTGTGCCGAGTCTGAAAACACTAGAGGTTTAAATTCTGGAAAGGCCAAGTGGCACTGGTTAGAGCACATTGTGAGCACTGGGTCATTCCAGTCACCTACATACTTTAAAGGACATCCACAACTTGGCCAGGGGACAGCCCCAGACACACCAAGACTCCCACACCAGCACCCTTTTCAAAAATGACTTGCAAAAAACAACCATCAGAATTCAAAAGCACAAGAACAGTTAAGTTGTAAACCAGAATGTGGAACATTTTAATCAGTGTATAACATGCAATACACACCCTACACTATTACATACTGTATGTCACTTATACGCAACTCTACACTGGTTGCTCGCCTACACACAACGCTAGCTGTCCGACACTGACAGCGCTGAACTAAGACAGCCAACTACGTCGAGCAGCGCAATTATCAAGTTGAGACGACAGCGGCGATGGCGACGATCTTCAGCAGCAGCGACGACTGGGATCCCACTCCAATCGACAGCCCCGAGCTCCTGCTCTGGGTCCCCTTTTATCCTGTTAGCGTGGCCTCGCTCTGCCCCGGCCACGCCCCCCTTCTGGAACCTATCGGGCTCTCGACGTGTCCCTTCCATAACCTTGACCCAAGATCCCTCTCGGGTATATCACGTGGCCTGCTGTCAGTCAGGGCTGCTACAAGCTGCAGATTCCCTTCCCTACCAGCAGCCAGCGATATGCTACTGTAGTGACCAATTCTGTGTCACTACAAACGTAATAAATGAGACGGTGCTAAATACATGTATATCAATTAGAAAATTATTCAATTTCCATAATGGACATTTTAATTCCAAAGTATTTCTTTAACTTATGCGTGCAGGCATTTGAGATAAAAAGGATCAAGATGGAAATAATTTATACCAAGGTGAATATTTATTAAGATTCACGTTTGCATGGTACACCATAGTTATAAAAGAAAAAACATTTTTACATTGTGGATCATTTTAGAAATGTTTTATTTGAACTGTGAATGCTTTAATGTGCTGTTCTCTTGGAAATTGTCTAATTTATAACTGTTTTTTATTCTATGGAGAAATTACTGAGTTCTGGAAATCGACCTGGTCAGCAAGATAAATACAAAGCTGTTCAACTACCCTGAGAAAGAAGAAATATGCTAGAGAACACACACAGAAAGCGTCTTCAACATCACCTGGCCACCAATTACACGGGTTGCACATAATATTGCCAGCTCGCTAGTCTTTAATTCTAGATTTGAAGTTTTCGTGACTGCAAGGATTCATACTGTTTTTTTTCAGTAAAGTCACGTAGGCACAAAAATTAAAATAAATTAAATCACGACGTTTCGGAGGCAACCACAAGCTTCCGTCTTCAGGTGGACGGAAGCTTTGTGTTGCCTCCGAAATGTCGTGATTTAATTTACTTACATTTTTTACCTACGTGACTTTACCGAAAAAAAACAAGGAGTAGCTTGCTAGTCCTCTTCATCCTCCTCCTCCTCCTCGTCGCTGATAATATATCTCTTCTGCTTTTTGTTGGCCTTTTCCTCTTCCTCTGCTTTACGCTTTCCCGATGTTCCCTCTTCCGTACCCTCCTGTGAAACGGTAAGGAACAACATCTTTATTTTCACCCAACTGTAAAAACACAGCTCTCTCGGCACTTTCAGGGTCATCTTGAGTGAAGCGCACGTGTCAGCCTGGAAACAGGTTTTCGTGTACGCAGTTGTAATTGACATTGGTGATTGATGACAGGAAACATTCACGCGATGACAATGGATAGTTATTATAACCACATTTAACAAAGTACGGGCTCTATTTTATCAATGGTTCATGGTATACGTTTATACTTGCATAATGCACTTTATCAGAATAATTATTCACGTGGATCATTGCAGCACTTAAGCATTTTACATTAGTCTCTAAATGTCAGAGAATCAAGTGTTTCACACATTACGATAAATGATCTTCAAAGCTGCTCTTTTGGGATAGCCATAAGAAAGCACTGGTCCTTTCTCCTTCGCAATGTTTCACCTCCCACATTGGAGGCATCTTCAGGCAGTATGATCCAGCTATGGTTTTACTACTGCTTATATACAAGTCCTGGTGGCTCAAGGAATGTGCGATAATGATTGATTCGTACTCTTCAATTGTATAGAATACACATCTACACAATAGATTACAAATCAATGATTATCACATTCTTGTGAGTTGCCAGGACTTATACATGCAGTAACAAACCCTCAGCTGGATCATACTGCCTTAAGAGATCTCCAATGTGAGAGGCAAAATGTTTCAGAGGAGAAAGGAGCAGAGCAGCTTTTAAGAGCATTTATCAAACATCAAGCCATGAAAACCTACATCAATGTTTTACATTACTTCAAACATACCTTGAAAAAACAAATGTAAAACATTCACATCAAACAGTATAATTAGGAAAATTACATGAAATGGATAACACCGAGTTATGCGATGTCCTAGATTATATATTTTCTGTAACAATACAAGGATAATCTGGAGAAATTCTTTAATTATATAGATTTTTGACACGAGACATACAAGCTGTAAGCATGCAAGGCTAACCTCATCACTTTCAATTTTCTTGGCCTTGGCTGCACGAGCATTCTTATCATCTTCAGAGCCCTCATCACTGTCGGATGAGTAAATCCTTGCTCGCTCCTCTGCAATCACATACACGCAATGCATTGTCTTTTAATAACAAAAAAGTCCGCGATCCGAAAACTCAAAGGTATGTGGAAAGATAAGATTTGGTTCATGGTTGATAATTATAATACGACACTCCTTTTGTTTTATGTTACTCTACATTAACCCACACATGAAATATAACTTGTACAGTAAATGTGTAGTGTCTTCAAAAATCACTCAGACTGACACATTGTAACAAGTCACCTGCTTACACTTTGACCTATTCTTGCACCAGTCGTAGGCACTCCTAAAGCTATCTGTACGGTCACTTAGATCTAACTTCTTCCCACTCGTATCTACGTTACACCTAACTTATCCTGCCCTCGGCAGGTGTGCTCTCAGCGTCTCCGCACACAGCGTCTCCGTACACGGCAGCTTCTACAACTCCACTGCTGCACTCACCTACGCTACCTCAGACCCGCTCACCCGTCGCGACCCACCAGAAATCCTCTCGTTCTTCACCAAGCACCCATCGTTGCCAAAATTGCCGTAGTCATAAACAAAACTTTGAAACGTTGATCAGCACATAGTGTAGAGCTCGTCGAGAGGTATACATTGCCGTATCGTTCGCCCTCAACAAACATAAAATGACGTCACAACGCAGTTCATGCTTATGGGACCTCGGGGTCCTGCCATAAGGTTCATATGTACAGTATTAGTAATTCGCCATGAGCTGAATTGCCGCACTGAATGGTCCAATTTCAGCATACACGTGGAGCGAGGCCGTACACCACAACCAAAACAATGACTCAGCCTAGTGGTGGCATGCGTGATGAGCATTAGTACAGATCTGCTGCTTTGGACTTTACTTTGTTTATGCGCTCTGTGCAAGCCAACCCTCTCAGAAATGTCATTTACACCTACATCAAATAGTAATAGAAAGGGACTGAAGCATAAATCCCTTAGTCTGCGAGACAAACCCAATATTTTGGATACAATTGATGCAGATGTGTCAATGCGTATAGTGTGTGAAGAGTTTGGAAAACAAAACATTTTGGGGCAGGAGGCACTGGGAAATACCATTGTACATAATTCGGAATATTGGATAATTCGGCAAGGCCAGAACCCCATAATTGTCAAATTAACAAGGGTTTACTGTATCTGCGTGCAGTATTTTCACTATTTAAATAGTTGTTTGCAGTGTATAACGTACTGTAACATTTGACACTGAAATCAAGCATAGCTACTTTTTTTGTCAAGCACATGGTTCCAAATTTCCAGACTGGTACAGCCTTTGGAGCGGTTTTGCTGGTTTTGCCAGATCGGATGTTGGAAGCCGGATAATCGCGCGCTGCGCTGGATAATCAATAATCAGCTGTAGTACATATGCACCGGCCATACATTTCGATGCCAATTATTGTAGATATTGGGCTGCCTGGAATTTATCCCAATGCCGGCCGGATGGAATCGACTATGACCAGAATGGCCAATGGAACGTAAAGTAATGCAACTGTTTATTAAAATGTGCACACACTACTGACCACGCATGTTGCCCTTGAAACGGTTCTTGATAGCCGCGAGGCTTATGGCCTCCTCCCCTTCCTCCTCCTCCTCTTCGAAGCGGTCCGACTCCAGGTAGTTGGAGCTCAGACCCCGCATGTGTTGCTTTTCGCGCTGCCGCCGCTGCTGAGATTCACGTCGGATCGATGCCCGTAGACGCTCTTCTTCTTTCTGTATCAACACCAGTCAAGAATTTACATTAAGAGTATAAAGATACACCAGCTCATTAGCATTGATCCTTATACGCACAATGCACGCAAAAATATACACGCGTGGGTCACCTTAATCATCTCAGTCCGTTGGGACTCGGGGTCCTTCCCAGCGATGGGCAGAATTCTGATCTTCTGTGTTTTAGAGCAGCGGTCTGCCAGGGACAGCGTCATCTTTCTGTGCGTGGCGCTGTCTGTTGAATGAGGTCTGCGGTGCACAAATACAAATTACACATCAGTATTAAACATCACAGCTCATTCAGTTTAACACGTAGGCTTTCGCGGCCAATATTATTCATAATAAAGGTTTTTGAGTTAGAAATCGCGTTATTTATAAATGTGTCGCAAACCTCCACTACCCGACACGACCAATCAATACTACACCACACCAACAAGAATGGAGTTTGCAAAGAGTAGGTCCAGAATTGGTCTACATACCACTCGTCACTGATGTTAGCCGTGGCTAATAACCAAACTCGGTTATCCACAATTATACCGCTGTGCGCGAACCACTGTACAAACACCCTCCCTACAGTGCCATTAGATTATTAGACACAGATGTCAAGTTGAACACACATTTTCTTGTTCAAGCAACCATTGCACCTATCTTCATAAATAAAGAAGTCCTCATCATCAGAACGCGTAAGTGACAAAGGCCGATTGTGCCAACCAATGTCCACGTTCCACTGTATATGAAACCTCGCCGAACCGCAGGGGTTACGTTCCTGAAAAATGCTATGTTGGGCAAAACCGGGTTCGACAAATCATAGACCTTATGGGAAAAACAGGGTTGCGTTCGTGGGTTGGAAATTGTCTCAGTCTCAATGCTGCCTGTAGGTCACATTTACTCAAATTAATTCAAGGGTGTCCTTCGACAAGAGAATGGCAATGTAGTTATTCAGGAACTGCTGATGAATTTGCATATTGTACGAGGTTGAGTGCTTTTTATATATAATGCATGATGATAACATACTTAATGTAGATTCACACCTCTGTGAAGAGTGGTAATTAAACAGTTCTTACCGGAAGGTGAGTTTGGTGCGGAAGACTGCCTGCCCCTGCAGCCCAGTGCCCTGGCGAATGAAGAGATGGTTGTGGTCGCCTTGCAATGGGGCCTTGTGGACATCAAACACCTCATTTCCCAGATGCAGTGACATGCTGTTCACAACAGTAGATATTACACAGTTAAGCAGCAGACCATTATCCACATAACACAGATAAGTACTGAATCTCGTAATCAAATCCTTGACAAAAATGCTAAAAATCTGATTCTAAATAAAGAAAACCAAATAATTTAAATGGCAATAAATTAACCATTGTATACCTAATTAATTTTTAAACCTCTGCTATAGTAGGACTAATAAAAAATTAACCCGTAAAAACAAAGTTTTTCACTATAAATCCTTTATATGCGTGGCGGCTAGAGTCCTCTCGTCCTCTGGCTTGAGATGGCTGCCACCTATGGGTCAGATGATTGCCTGCCACCATTAAGCAATTGGTAATTAAATATAAAAAAAAAATTTCCTAAAAAGTGTAAAGTTATGGAAAAAAATTTTCACGAAAATAAATTGTCACACACGAGTCTGTGTGCAAAATGTCAGCTCGATTGGATCACGGGAAGTGGGTTAAAAAACGACCGAAAGATTTGCACGGTCGTAAGCACGCAAGCAAGCAAGCAAGTGAACTTAATATAAAGGATTTAAAAATGTATATCATCTTTGCAGTGATAATTATAATGAAATAAATGTCACACGCAAAGTAATTAGACTAAGACCTCGGTTTATGACGGGGATGCATTCCTTAAAAGTGCGACGAATATCAAAATGACGTAAATCAAAGCAATTTACAGGTAGATGGAGACGAAGGCTGAGGTCACAGATACGAGAAAATTTCACATCTAGGCCTGATTTAAAAATAGTTTTCTTTAACCTGAAAAATTAGACCACATCCGTAAAGTATAGATAAGTGACTGGGCATAAGATTGTTAATCGATGCCAATTTCCCAAGTAAAGTTGGTTTACAAAAGTGGGAACATAGATTTAAACTGTATGAAGAAATGGAACAAGGCTAGTTTAGTGAGGATGGGGCTGCTCTATGGCAGTCATCTCGGAAGACAAATAGAAGCAGTGTGACGTTTGTGCGGATCCAGTACCTGCCATCGGACCAGCGGATGAAGCGTGCATTACTTTCCTTCACCTCGTTTCCATCATCATCCCGTATCGTACGCCACCTTATTGTGTTTTCAACCTGTGGTATAAGAAATGAGGCACTCCGGAATGCAGATCATGTTTATAATTTCTTAATTTAACTAATTTAACTCTCATTCCACTATGGGTGTGGCATGTGAATGGAGTAATTTAGCCTGGTATGGGCAGGATGTGGGTTCGATCCAGACCCTGATGCCTGTATATTTGTATTCTGCATATAAATGCATATTTAGAAACATGCATTATATGTATTTGACAACTCTAAATTCCCACATATGAGGAGCCAGTTCGTTGAACTACCATGTGTGGCCAGGTCATCTCTGAAAAAGAATAACTCAGAAGAATCTACCTGATCAAATAAAAAAAAATGTAGTCTACGATAAATCCTATGTGACGGATCTTACACAAAGTTCAAGTAATAAATGATGGGTGCCAGATGCAAAATAGATCCACAAATATTGTTTAATCACCTCAATAGTTCCCCTGCTGTAGTGTTTACAGCTTCACAGATGATGAAAGTATCATGTCACGCATGTGATAGGTCCAAGGTAAAGAAACAAAATCAGTATAGTGGTATTCATTAAGTTTCTCCCATTGGAGGAAAGTACTGATTTCGGTCATGCACACACACACATATTTTCCTCTTTATCCCTATCTCCTCTTCAAGCAAGCCTCGCATACTTGAAAATCATGAGATTTGTATGTAGAGCTACAGGTTCAATGATATAGGCTCACCAAAATTAATTTAAGAATATCGTTATGGCATTAGGTATAATTGTGAAACAGGAAAAACCTTTCGGATGACAGAAATTGGTCAAACTAATTTTTTTTTAATTTTTAGTTTATTGTGACGAAGAACAAATAACAAACTAGATTAACGATCAAAACACCATTTACCTTCAATTTCAATCTCGTGCGTCCCTCTTCGTCCATTGTCTCATCATCTTCGAACTCATCTTCATAATATTGGGGATCAAATGGCCTGTTGAAAGGGATAAACATTAAATACACTGAGACCTGCATGCAATATGTACGCCATGGTGGAAAGATGTTAATTACGTCGCCTGGTATACAGGAGGTCGTGGGTTCGATCCAGACCCTGACGCCTGCTGCTGCTGTATATTTGAAGTTTGCATATTCTCCTCGTAGTCGCGTGGATTTTTCTCCAGGTCCTCGGGTTTTTCCCTCCATATTTAGAAACGCGTTTAGAGTATTTGGCTGGTATAAATGACCACGTGATAAGCCACTTTTGTTGAGCTATCACAGGTCATTTCTGAAAAACAGCAATGTAGCTCAGTGGGCCTTACCTGGTAAAATAAATAGTTTTTTTTAAGTTTAGTTTTTAATGGAGCATATGCTGTCCAGCAAGTACATTTCCATCAATGTTTAAGTCATAAGAATGTAAAATACATGTCACAGTCATGAGAATGCACACATAAGAAATTATGTCCTGGATCCACCTAATATGATCCAAGGCAAAGTGCTGGAATATAAAAAAAGAAATAAATAATGTATGCATGTTTAAGACAGCAGTACTGTCTGTGTTACTGTACGGGTCAAAGAGCTATACCAAGTACATGATAAAAAGAACTCCTTGATTTTCATACAAGGATGGGGTAAGTAATTTAGATGTACATTGAGAACATGGGGGAAGGAAACATGCATAGGTAAATAGAAAGTGTATGTTACGATGCATAGGGAACATGTGCAACAATGCAACGAGTTGATTTTCAAGTGAGGTATTATGAAGAAAAGACCTTGAGTTAAATGGTAGGATACTCTAGGATCGAACATTAAGGTTCAATGTTAACTGTGCATCAGTTTCAGGTTATAGTAAAAGGAAGCAACGGGTGAGGCGTGGTGGATTAAACGGAATTATGATGCATTTGTGATGTTGGGTGCAGCTACTGACAGTTAACATGGAGACTGGTTAATTGAATTTTCATGAAACTCAATTCACATTAAAAAGGACTTCATGCCTTGATGGAGTAAAGTGCTAAATGCAGTGAATACATTATTCAGAGGTTGTGAAGGATACTTGGAATTTCATGGCAGGATAATTTAATTTCGAAGCACACCAGAACGTGGTAGAAAAACATTGCAGACATAATGAAGAAAGGGAGATTACAACGATATATTTGTGGAATGGAGGGTTGGTTACCAAGGTAAAGACTCCGGGAGCCAGAGGATAGGCTACTGCAAGGGAGAATCTCGTAATTTTAGCAACATATGCAACCATTGCAACATTTCTCTCAAGGGTGAAATATTGTAATGGTTTTTTGGCAACATGTGTTGCGTGGCATCCATAGGATTACATAACTTCCTTGGTTCTGCCATGTGAAGAAAAAATATAAATATCCCTGTATATTGTAAATTTGACTAAAATTAGAACTTTGCAAAGTATATAAGTGCACGTTTCGCTAAAAATAGATGGCATCTAATGATATAGGTTCAAACATTACTTTGCATCCAAAAAATAATTTAGTGAAATGTTTAACATGGTAATTTTAAATTAAGTGTTACCTCCTTGCCTATTCTTATTTCATAACATACTGCCTCAATACCATGGATGCCACGAAGTTATATTTAGGCTACTTACATAAAAATTTTAAGCAAAAATATTATCTACCAAAACATATTCAGAGATTAGCCTTCAGAGTAGATGCACTAGCTACATCATCACCAAGGCAGAGCATTTTTGGAAGAAATAAATGCGACTTCGAATTAGTGCCAAACATAATTTAATAGCATGTCAATGATTGCTCGACGAGACAACATAACAGCAAGGCCCCAAGAAATCACGCACCTTGTTTCCACGCTGAGGAAGTTGGGAAGCTTGACAAAGTACAGCTCGTTGCCAAGGTCTGTGTTCACTTTGGGGATCTCTACCTCGATGCGAGTCTCTGGAGGAGGTGCCTCAGTTGGCTCTTGTTCACCATCTTCTCCGTCCTACACACCAGCAGAAAGTGTGTAACACGTAGGTAGCACACACGAAACACACATGCAAGCCTATTTCACATAAACACATAATAATGTATATGTAGTGACATAACTGGATGTCAACATGCTGGGTGCAGTGCCAGCCCTAGAGGGGCCCGGTGAACGCCGAATATAATAGCACTAGATGGCACCATGCTTTACGTGCAGTGCCGCCCCGACAAGACAGAGTGTGTGGGTGCCGGCTGAAGGATGAGGTTACGTGAGGCCATGGCACTCTGGTTGACCTGGGAAGACACTTGACCAGTTAAGTTGACAAAGGGGCCCCAAGAGGGGGCTAGGGGTGGTCACGTGATTGGGACCCAGATCCTTCCCGAGGATTCTGGAAGATGGACGTGGCCAAGGGCGGAGCCGGCCATGCCACAGAGAATATAAGCCGGGTCCCCGGGAGGGACCAGGGTGGTTGTTGTTCATCCTGGAAGAACCCTTCATCTACGATCTCTGTTCAATGAGTCTCCAACACGTGGACCCGGGCCGAAGCTGTTGGTCCCGGTCCGTAGCAGCAATTTCGTTGTAATTAGTGTAGTTAGCCTGGTGGTCACGACTATAGGTTGTTATTCTGTTAAGGGGAAAGTTACCCCGTGTGTTGGAACTGAATAAATGTGTTGCCTCCAGGTCGACGTCTGCGACTCAGTTGAACCCATTACATATGTAGTTTTAACTTAAATTATTTTACTTAAAATGTAATAATTTATATTTCAGAAAAATAAATCTCACATTTTGTTTAATTAAAACAACGGTAGAAAGTTGATAAATAATTCAACTATACACTGATCTGCAGGAAATAAGACAAATGCAGATTGTACATACCAGGAGCACACAGTGAGGAACACAAATACATCAGAAATTTGTGTTCTACCTTAAGACATCATTTGCAATAACGATTTCACCACAACTTTGCTATAAGTTGGCTCGGAGACAACTGTATTAAACCGAATTTGCAGTTTTTGTTACTCACCAGTGGCCGACCAGGTGTAGCAGGCTTTCTTTCCTCATCGCTGTCTGACGAGATGTCATCCGCATCACCAAACAGGGTGTCCACTGTGGCTTTCTTATCTGAGGCAGGAGATGGGTGTTCAACAAGTACAGAAACATAATGTTGTGCACTGCAGTTCAATGGACAAGTATAATAATTTATATTTAACACTAACACGCAAGACACTTAAATGTATGAGAAACACTGCTTTTCCACATATATGCAAGCCCTAATATATGCAAAAGTATGGAAATGTTTAAATAAAGGTATCTCCATACTCAATGAGTCTGAGAAAATGTTTGCAGTTCAAAGCGTTTTTTTTAGAAAATCCACATTATTCACAGGATAATTTAACTGTAAACAGATATTAAGCAAGCTGAAACTGTCATTTATCTACGGGAGGAGTAATGCACGTAAACATCAGTTCAATTACCAACCGCAAGAAAAAGTAATCCTGTTAAAACATGAGATGTGAAATCCTTATTAAACTCGAACATGAACACAATGATAACCAAACAAACGGCATGAGTGCAGTACATGGCAAACTTAATTAACTTCTCAAAAGATGTGTACACGTGAATATTGGAACAGAGCTGTTCAAAAGACAATGCTGAAACTGTGCTTTATTAGCCATATGTTACAATGGCTTGGGTTCTACCTTATTCATCAGCAGACATGATCAACCTGTGATGCAACAATTCACCCAGAACCTGGATGAGTGGACTATCTCCATGGTAAACGTACTTTCAGATGCATTTCTGCCCTTGAATGCCATGTCGTTCTCTATCGACATGTCCTGCCGAAACCCACTTACTTTTCTAAATAAAACGCCTATAACCTATTATCTCAATTTTTTCTTTTTTTTTATCTCTCTCTCAATGTTATTCCGAGCATCTCTCCATACTTTTTCATGCCCCTTTAAGATTTTATTATATTTTCCTCATTAATGTCCACATTTCGGATCCATATTTCACAAGTAAAATGCACCGATTCAACAGTTTCTTCTTTGGTCACTTGATACGTTGCTTCGCACTATTAAGTTCAGCTTATAAAATAACTTTCATCAGCTCTGTCCACCTCCCTTTCTCATCATTTTGATTCCAGTACACTTCAATAACGGTCCTAGGTACACGTTATTGTTTTCCAGTTTAATCCTTCCAAACAATATCTAATTATCATGACCTTTATTTTCCTCAAATTATTCATGAGCCCAACTTTGCAGCTGTTTTTATATTTATATTTTCAACTTTTAACACACACATTATTTGCTCGCTCCCAAAGGGAAACCACAGACAAGCCGGAAGCAGTAGTTTCTAAAGTTTTGTGTAGTTAATTTTCTCTAATTCCTTACCAGTGGATGTGTTCTACTCCTCTCCTTAAAATATGATGTACTCAATGCTAGTGGCCAATGTGGTGACATCGAGATGTTTAGGAATGTACCTGCTGCAGTGTCAGAGTCGCTGTCAGAGCCGGAGTGCGTGGCCACAGTCCTCCTGGGCTTCCGTCCAATTTCATCTTCACTGTCGCTACCACGCGCCGAGTGTTGCTCTGTATCTGCAAGTATGTGCGCATATGTACACAGGTGTCAAATAATATCGAGCAAGATCGTAATTCGGTTGATATCACAATGCTAACAGCGTTATTATTTTCCATACCATGTGTGCTTTATTTAGGGTAAGTGGAGTCAATGTAAAATTTGATAGAATGGGCACTGAGGGTATGAAACGTCCTCCAAATATTGTACAGTACTTTATAACTTGCTAATGAAATAAGTGTCTAAAAGCTGTGTCATGAAAAAGCTTCACAATTATATTTAACCACGTCATTACATTTTTATATTTTATGTTAAACTAAATGTTATTACATTATGAATTACATATTGTTTAGCAACAATTCGATTTTAAATATCCTCATTACGGTAATATGCATGGGTATATAAAGCATGGCTTTAAAGGCCAATAACTGTGAATATAGTAAGAATGTTAAACAGTTTTCAGTTAAAATCCTAAGAAACATATCACTCCATCAATAAGTCGTGGTGGCCAGTTTACCAGATACACGCCGACTGTCTTCATGTTCATTGTCAGAATGAGCCCTCTCCTCGTCAGACTCCTGGGCTTTCTCATCCTCCCCTGCAGAGCGGGGGCTCGCGTGCTCCCTGTCCGAGCCCTCGGCTGCTGATCTGGGGCTTGAGGGACCCCACAGGTCGCCCTCGTCCACATCTGTATTCAGGCCCCCCTCACTGTGCCTGTCCTCCACATCCGAGGGACGGCCGTCCTCAGAGCGGCCGCTCTGTGGTTCTTCTGCATCAGAATGGTGGCCCTCGGACACGCTGTGCTGCTCCTCTGCGTCCGAGTGGTGGGTTTCCGAGCCGCTGTGATGCTCCTCCGCATCAGATTGATGGGCCTCGGAGCCGCTGTGGTGCTCCTCTACGTCTGAGTGGTGGCCCTCCGATCCACTGCGGTGTTCCTCCACGTCCGAGTGGTGGGCCTCTGAGCCACTGTGGTGGTCCTCTGCATCAGAGTGGTAATTGTCATCATTGTGTGCAGACGCGACTGACGCGGCTGACACGGCAGAGTGCTCGGAGTGGTTGTCACTGTGCCGGGAGGCAGCGTCTTCGTCACTGTCATCACCAAACAGCTCCTTGTTGCTGGGTTGGGCTACTTGCCTCTCATCATCCTCGTCGTCTTCCTCCTCCTCACCAGCACCCTCCCGCTCACTCCCGCTCGCTGATCTCCCGCTCAGAGACTCCGCCCGTTCATGCTGTTGCTGTTGCTGATGCTGCTCATGCTCAGACTCCGAATCGGAGCCAAATACTAGGAGGGCATAAACAAAAACGAGTGACAGATGCTCGTGTTAATTATTTGTCATGTTTTTTTATGATTACATTCAAATTATTCACGTACTACAACTCTACTTGGCTATAATTATGGGAAGAAACATGCTACTGATAATTGTTAACTGCGATCATATCGCATGACGGTGATTAAGTTATATTTGTGTGTACAGCTCATCACCGATTATCTCGGCTGCTTGCAACATTATCCGGCGGTCCTGGACCGATCCGGCGAAATCGGCACTACGTGTGTGGTAAAACAAGTAGCTATGCTTGATTTCACTGTCAAATACATTATACACTACGTAACTGAAACAATGAAAATAATGCACGTATGTTTTCATGACTAATGGGTACAGTAATACAAAAATGAAAATATAGAGTGCGATCTGGCGTTCGCCGGAGCACCGGTCTAAAGGCTGCATCAGTCCGACGATCGTCAAACACAAAGTTGTTGAAACAAGAGCGTAGTAATTCTAGATTTGAAGTTTTCGTGACTGCAAGGATCCATACTCAAGAGTAAAGAGCGTAGTAGTACATACATCATCACATGCAGAGTCTTGGAGTGGTACGGTACAAGTAACTTTTTACCGGACATTTATGTCTATTTACGTATATTTAATGTTATTCAAGAATGTGCAAAAGTAAGCTATTTTAAATAACTTTGTGATTATCAGCCGTTTGTGTAAATTCCGGCGCCCCCTTCTCCACGAACAACTGATGACCTCCTGAACTCATGTCCAGCGAGTTCGAATTCCGCTCACGGCCAACACCGGTGATGATTATCTGAAGCGGTCCTGGGCCCTCCCCCAGGTAGACTCGGCCTCAAACGAGTACCCGGTGCGATGTGTAGTAAAACGTCGCCACGAGGGAGACAAAGGCGGTCGGGCGTGGTGCTGGCGTCTTGTGTGCCCGTGCCGGCCTTCATAGGCACTTGCCCCAACAGTCTATTAAAGATACCCGGGTGGGTGGGTTGGGGGTTTTTGTCTTGTTTAGGACTATTGTTTATCTCGAGGACATTGTTTACATCTAGGAGACTGTTTACATCTAGGACATTGTTTATTGTTTATCTCGAACACTGCCCCACGCGTCCCGCGAGGCCTGTCCGGGCACGGGCCCCGAACCCCGCCTTGCCTAGCCGCGCTACCGGGAGAAGCGCGGGTTCCCCGGCCGCGCGTCGCTATCCGAGGCGGGGGGGGTCGGAGGGGGTCGGATGGGGTGGGGAGTCGTGGTGGTCACCATGGGACGCGCGCTCCGCCTCGCTGTCGTCGTCGCTGCCGAAGAGGCCGTGCATGTCCGCCATGGCGAGCCGTGCTCGTGCGACGCGCCGTGGGGGGGGAGGTTGTCGAGGCGGCAGCTTTCAGTGGGCTAGGCCACAGCGGTGCGCGGTGAACGGCGCAGTACGCGACTCCTCGATTCTATGGCGATCGATTCTCGTGCGTCGACTACGGCTGCGTCAATTAGCGGAGTCGATCCATTATACTGGTAGGAGTCGTCCTGGTTACACCAGCCCACAGGGGGTTATTGGTGTCCGTCGTGCAGGGAGGGGCTGGGTGGGAGGGAGGGGCCGGGTGGGGAGGGAGGGGCTGGGTGGGGAGGGGAGGGCTAGGTGGGGAGGAGCTGGGAGGGGAGGGTGGGGAGGGGCTGGGTGGGGAGAGGCTGAGTGGGGAGGGGCTGGGTGGGGAGGGTGGAGCTGGGTAGGGGGTGGGAGGGGTGGGGCTGGGTGGAGCTGGGTGGGGAGGGGCTGGGCTGGATGGGGAGGGTGGAGCTGGGTGGGGGGTGGGAGGGGTGGGGCTGGGTGGGGAGGGGCTGGGTGGGGAGAGGCTGGGTGGTGAGGGGCTGGGTGGGGAGGGTGGAGCTGGGTAGGGGGTGGGAGGGGTGGGGCTGGGTGGGGCTGGGTGGGGAGGGGCTGGGCTGGATGGGGAGGGTGGAGCTGGGTGGGGGGTGGGAAGGGTGGGGCTGGGTGGGGCTGGGTGGGGAGGGGCTGGGCTGGGTGGGGAGGGTGGAGCTGGGTGGGGGGTGGGAGGGGTGGGGCTGGGTGGGGCTGGGTGGGAGGGGTGGGGCTGGGTGGGGAGGGTGGAGCTGGGTGGGGGGTGGGATGGGTGGGGCTGGGTGGGGAGGGGCTGGGTGGGGAGGGACACTGGGGTATTGCATGTCAGAGATTACATCCTTCACAAATAGGATCAGATCACGAATTTTATGTACTGTGTTGAATCGAACCTGGATCTTGTGTTTGCTCATGATTTTGGAAATCTTTTTGGTGACTCCTGCCATATATGGCAAGGTGATGGTTTTGATTGGGTCCTCATGTGGTTCTCTCCCAACGGTTGGGGTGACAGCTTTACGGATTGTGCAATCCGAAAATCCATTCATCTTCAGGGCTTGATGTACGTGCTCCAGTTCATTGAGGAATTGGTTTCCGTGCTCCAGTTCTTGTTATTTTATTATTTATTTGAAACAATACGCTTGAGTAGTCGCCCCCCTGCTGCTGCAATTTACACTGCTCCCAAGACAACCATGAGTCATCATCACCCCCTATTTCGCTACGAACATTTGCTCCCACAATTCTTCTCCATTCAAATATCCCACAATTTAACCGTCCTAATGCACATTTTATAGCGGCACTCACTGCCGCCCCACGGCTGTAGCCTTGACAGCGCATCGGCATTGTTATGTCTAACAACCTGCCCTAAGCTGTACTATAAACTGAAATTCTTGCAGCCTCTCAATCCAATGGGCCAATTGGCCAGATAGTTGGTCCATCATTCGGGCATATTGTAAGGCCGCATGGTCGGTATGCACAATAAACGACGTCCCGTATAAGTAAGGTCTAAACGCTGTCACAAAATTCATGACTAGAAAAAGTTCCTGGTGAGTCATGCAATATTTGTTCTCCGTGTTTGATAATGCTCTGCTACTATATACAACCACAAACTTCCTACCCTATTACTTCTGCAACAACACCGCCACTATTCGTTTATCACTCAAATCCGTGTCCAGAATAAATATTTGTTTAAATCAGGGGAATGCAATTATAGGTGCCAAAATGAGCCAATGTTTACCATCTGCTCCCCATTCTTCCACTTGAATTTACAGTTTTTGGCAGTCAAAACATGACATGGTCGTGCAATCTAGGTAAATGCCAGCACACATTGTTTGTACTTGGATGCCAGACCTATAAATTGCCAAACCTCCATCGATGATTTTGGTACTTTAATTTTGATGGTTGCTTATTTAAGGTGCTGAAAAACCAATGTCAACCTGCTTAGGACCGAGTTCCTCAAGTGCTGCTAAACACGACATCGTCCAAATTTATTAAACACGTCTCCCACTGCAAGTTCATAAAACCCAACTCCATTAACCTCTGAAAGGTAGCCGTGCCAAATTCAGACCCATTGGCAAAACATTAAATGCGAACACTCCAGCTAGTGTCATACATGCCATGTTTGTACTTTGTTAATAGAAAGCCAATTGTAAATATCCTGATAACAAATCCAATGCGGTAAAATATCTGGCTCCAGCCAGCGCATCAAGCGATCATGGGCAACAGATATGCATCCCCTGTCACCTAATTAACGACCTGATAGTCAATGCAAAACTTAGTGGAGCCTTTTATTACGAGAATAACTGGGGCCTCCCACGGACTTGTGGATGGGGAAATTATGTCTGCCAGTAGCACCTCCTTTAACACATTGCAAAATGTTTTCCTTTTTAAGTACGGCTGTCCTGTATGCCTTCTGGCGTACTAGCCTTACAGCACCTGTATCATGTGTAATGAACTAAGTTATATCTAAATCAAATGTTGTCTGCCTTAACACATCCTGATTATCTTCCAAGTCTTGTAATTAACGATTCTGAACATCTGTGATCCCCTCCCTGGGCATTCATTAATGTATTCCCCCAGTTATTTCCTTAACCTTGCTTCTGTCCATTAACCGTGGCATTAACATCTCCCGACATATCACTCACATCCAATAAACAAACTCTTGCAAAAATTTACTCAGGCCCAATCCAATTCCAGAAATCACATAAATTCCATGAGAACATAGGGGTGATCTAGACTACCCGTAAGTTTGCCATTACTCACGTCCACACAAAGTCAAAGACCCCACCATATAGCCTTCAACAGACTGTTGGGGAAAGTGCCATTAGCGAACACCTATGAAGGCCGGCATGATGCATGACGGGTGGGTGGTCAGCACCATACTCGGCCATCCTTGACTCCCGAGTGGCGATGTTTACACATTACACCAGCTGAGGCTAAGTCGATTTAGGGGAGGCCTAGGACTGGCTTAATCATCACTTGTATTGGCTGTGAGAATCGAACTCACCATCATGGAGGACCTTAATTATTGTGAGCAGAGAGTCAGGGATTCTGAAAGCATGAAGAACAACCCAGAGCCCAGGCCTACTGATGGTATCATAGGCCTTGGCCAGGTCAATAAAGCAAACATGTAGGTCTTGTTGGAATTCCCTACACCTCTGCTGTAGCAGACGGACAGAAAATATGACATCTGTGCAGGATCGTCCTTTCCTGGAACCACATTGGGGCTCCGCTAACCTCTCCTCAGTGAGCTTGGCAAGACGATGTTGAATAATCCTTGCCAGGACCTTACCCGGCACACTGAGGAGTGAGATGCCCCTGTAGTTGTTACAGTCTGTGCGGTCCCCCTTCTTAAAGAGGGGGACCACCAGGGCATCCTTCCAGTCCTACAGAACCCATCCAGTGGTCTAAACTGTTATTATTACGTCATGTAGAGCAGTTTGTGCACAAACGCCACCCTCCCTCAGCATTTCGCTTCGGAAATCATTTCTGCCCGGTGCCTTTCCTGGTCTCAGACTCTGGATCGCCATCTATACTTCCTCAACAGATGGCACCTCAGCCAGCCACTCACAGGGGGTCCCTACTTCCAATAGTTGAGGCACCACAGCCTCAGCAGTGTCATCCCCACTTTGCCCCAAGATGTGTTCTAGGCTGAGGGGTTTCCCCTCCACCAAGACCTCACAGAAATGCTCAGCAAATCTGCAAACCTGTTCCTAGGGGTGGGAGATTGGATCACCTTTCCCCTCAGGATGGTGATCGGTGTGGTGCTGCAAGTTACTATTTTGATGGAGTTAAAGAGTGATGTATGATCATGGGCCACTGAACCAGACTCCATCTCCTCAGCAACCCACGACCACCACCTATTCTTGCAGCGCCTCACGGCTCTTTGAACCACCGAGCAAAGGCTGCGGTAAGCCTCCTCATTTTCTGACGTGGGATGCTGTATACGATGAGAGTCGGCCTGTCGCCTGGGTGTACACCCACCACCGGAGTGGAAGAATGGCAGGTGCATCTTACAGATGACAAGCCGATGGTCAGTGGGCAGATCAGCTCCACGGTAGGTCCTGGTGTCAGGGACATGGGCCCACATCCGCTGTTCTGTCACTATATAGTCCAGCAGATGTTCTTGCCTGGACCCAGTGTGCATCCATGATGTTATATGGATGTGCCGATGCCGGTACAGTGTGTTGGTAATTATAAGCCCATGGGCTGCACCAAAGTCTAGCAGCCTCCTACCGTTGTTATTGAGTCGATCTGACCCATGCCTTCCAATTACTCTAGACCAGGTGCCAGCATCATGACCAACTCGAGCATTAAAGTCACTTGAGCTAGATATTGTGACAGAATGTCATAGAAGGAATCTGACTCATCAACCTTGCCTTGCATCCCTCCACTGATGTTCATCTTTGGTGGGGGAATAAGTAACCATGACCACCACTCTTCACCTCTGGTTGATGGGAAGGCGAGTCCAAAGTAGCTTGGTGTCTACAGCTTCCCAGACCTCACTGCCACGCTCCCACACCCCCTTCATTCTTTTGTTCAAAAGATGAGCCACTCCCTGTTTGCAGTCTCTTGCCCCGAGTAGAGGACTGTCCACCCCTCATGGCGGCAGGAGCCAGTGCGGTCCATCAGACCTCCTGAATACTGCAGAGATCCAGGCGGTACCGGTCCAGCTACCGATAGAGGAGTGGCAGCCTCTCCTCCGCAGTGAGCGTTCGAACATTCCACATGGCCACCCGCAGTGGCTTTTAACTGTTTCTGGAGGAGCTCCGAGGGTAAGGATTCAGTCTCCTGGCTCCGCCAAATGGGATTTGGTCAGGAGACGTCATAGACGCCTGCCAACCCCCCCCCCCCCCCCCCCCCCCCCCCCCCCCCCCAGGGCCACCAGCACAAGTTTAGCTGGATATTTTTTTCGTAGTTTAGTGGTAATTAATTGAAGGTGGAGGGGTTACTAGCCCCTCGCACCCGTCCAAAGCCCCCTGTGGCCATTGTGATGGCTACAAGCACCATGAGGGGATTGGCCAATCAAAATTGGCCCTCCCCCCCTTGGCACTGCTTACCACAGCATTACCGTTCGGCACCAACGAGGAATTAGAGGGGTTGTTTTGCAGGATCCATCACAAACACACACCAAAGCACACGCGTGCACAACCCCATACAAATCCTCCCCCCACACAGACACGCACTGTCAAATATCCCCCATATAACCTTTTAACACTGTTAGCGAGCACCTGTTAAGGTTAGCACCGCCCCAACTGGACATGTGAACAAGTATAACCCGTAAAAACAAAGTTTTTCACTATAAATCCTTTATATGCGTGGCGGCTAGAGTCCTCTCGTCCTCTGGCTTGAGATGGCTGCCACCTATGGGTCAGATGATTGCATTGCACCATTAAGCAATTGGTAATTAAATATATTTTTGTCCTAAAAAGTGTAAAATTTTTGAAAAAAAATTTCACGAACATTAATTGTCACGCACAACGAGTCTGTGTGGAAAATGTCAGCTCGATTGGATCACGGGAAGTGGGTTAAAAAAACGACCGAAATATTTGCACGGTCGTAAGCAAGCAAGCAAACTTAATATAAAGGATTTAAAAAGAGCGTCATAGCTGATAAGATTCCTTCAGTGTAGATACATGTTATTCTGATTAAATACAAAGAAAACACACAAAACACTCTCAAACACCTAGCACGTAGACATGCCCATGCAAAATAACACTCAAACCATTACATACACACACTCATACACCTCGCACAAATAAATGCACACAATTAACACTCCAATTACTTTAAAAAGCATGTGTAAGATACACTTATACTCTTTGGGTCTTTTGGTAAAGTCACGACCGCTTTAAGTCAAGCTAAACTTACCTCAGCTATAGACTGAATGAAGAGCGATGATTTTACAGCATCTATCTTGATTTTAGGCTTTCGTGACTGCAGGAATCCATCCTCTTTGGTTCTTTCGGTAAAGTCACGTAGGTATAGCATCTGTTGCATCAAGATTGTCTTCATGACAGCTGATTGGCTGGTGTAACGGGTGTGATGATGTCATCCCTAGCAATCACTGCAGTGAGCCAATTTCCGCAATCTTGCTAGGACGTGCAGTGGTACTCTGCATTATCCACAACGCTGTTTCGGAGCCGACGAAACTCACTGCCTGGAGGATTCTATGGATATCTTGCATACTCGTGTCCCAGGTCACTCAACCTTCTATTTGACATTCAATGTCTCTTTATATAGTCCCCAAGTACGAAATCCCTCTAGATCCTAAAATGTATAAATCTCGCAAGGGAAAAGTCTCTGTTTCCCACCATTCGCTGTCTTCTTCCCAATTGGTTCTCCTATGATCCAACCCCGGCAGATTTTCCAAGATTGGCTCCCTCTTGATGCGACTCCCTCTCCCCAGTGTAAGATGAACTCATGGCTCACTACATCCCCCCACTTCATTATCACCAACACCAATATCAATGACATCGGCCTTCAAGCCCCTCAATCGCAGTCGCTACACTATGGGTTATACAGTAATCAGTTTAAAATAGCAGCTGGGCAGAACTTTCAGAGGTGGAAGTACTGAGATATGAAAATATGTTTGTAGCTATGTTCTGAATTAAGTGGCATCATAAGACAGGACTAATTGAGAAACGTTGAACAGGACATTTTGCAAAAAGAAATTCTAGAGCTGGATAAGTCGTCAAAGAAGAGATTGAAAAAAATATATAAAAACTAAATATTTAATTGTACTTGATAAAAAACGAGTCTGGTTTAATCAGGCATGGGTTGTAGTGATACGATCATAAAACGAGACGTTAGAAAATTGTCGAAGCACATCTTAGAAATCAGGTTATGCAACAGCTGGAGGATCTGGCAGGTCAAAAGAGGCGGAAATGTGTGGCGGCATTGCCATTAGCTAGGACTTGTTGACCTTGATCTTTATTCCATAAAGAAACAAACTTCAACATTTAACGTACCATGAAGAGGGTTATAGGTAAAAAAGAACACTTCAACTTCACACTATTCTGAAGCATTTATTACCACACCGTACAATACACCACACAACCCACGTCCATACACTTTCACAATGTGGAGAACGTGCAGGCTCGGGAAAAATAAAATCTAGGGAACAAATTTTTTTAATGTACAGTTACATTTATTCTGCCAAAAATGTTTTTTAGAAAGGGTCTCTGGAAACAATATCATCGTATTTCAATGTGTAAATGAGTATCTTTGTTATCACATAGCATCAGATGTTGTGCCAACAGTCTTTTTTATCCACCACCGATCACAATAAAGTATGAAAGAATTTACAATGGATATAAATACATTGTTCTTTATGGTCTAAAACAGCTGTAATTTATGAGTCAGAAAATGTAAATGTGTTTTGGTTTGACAGAAACTATCAACAAGTTGTACAGATATGTAAAAGACACTTATTAATATTCATACAATTTCCAAACTTCATATTTGGCAGTTTAAAAGAATGGGAAAATAATTTCACCTAGTAAGAATGTTTATGTTTGGCAATTAAATGAAGGCAAATAAAGACTTAAAACTGAAATATATTGCTGGCTTGCACGTGTAAATCCAAAAATTATCTAAATATAGAACTCCACAAGGCACGTAACATAACAGTATTAAACCCTTAACATGTTACTCACAGCATCTGCCGAAGGTAAATTCTGTTTAAAACAGAAATAAAAACTATATAACATAAGCTGACAACAATATTACCAGCTGTGGTTAGCATTCTTGTACTTGGGTCTTTCTAAACGATGCTGCAAGCCCTAGGTGTCAGGCAACCCTGGATACTACCCACCCCTTAATTAACTTAAAAACAGCGATAGTATTTCCATCCAGAGGTCATACAAAAAAAAAGTGCCACCTGTAAAAAAACATTCCTCAAATGCGGTGTTGTGGAATATTAATTCCCATTGGGTTTGTTTGTGGAGGTGTACGCTTATAGTATATAAGAAAATGTGTTTCCTTATTGTGTTCCAAGGTTTACGTTTCATACAAATTGAGATGACTCAGCACTGTAAACATGATATTAAAAAATGGCTCCTGCTTGAGTACAGTACTGCAACTGTTCTTACCATGCGTTGCCATACAAAGTCCTAGGCTAATGAATCCGACACCACCGTACTGTGCTGACATGATTCACGTTGAATGGCAAACATATTACTGTATATGCACCAGCAGTTACACATCCTAATTATGGTCATGTAGGAGCACCTACAGATTCACACATTATAGAAACCTATTCAACCTTTGCAGTTGTACAATCATAGAGTAGGTTTACAGTTGTCTTTTAGTTTGCTACAATTCAAATTTGATCGAAGTTCCTGACCAGGTGTGCAAGATTCTTGCTTTCCTATGCTTTACCAAAGGCTTACAAAGTATAGCGGGTGTAGTTTACACAATCGTAAGTAGCAATTTTTAAAATATATATATATAAATGAAAACACATGACCATACCATCAGACAATCAATGCATGAGCGTCAGAAAACGTGTTCTCCAACCCGCGGGTTTCCCTGAACTGAAAAAATCCGAAGAGCTGCAGTTGTTGACGAAGGGACACCATTAATGAACAACCAATTACACAGAATCTAAACTTGTTAGAAGAGCAAATTTGTAACTCTCAAAATCGCAATGTTAGGGTCTTTAAACTTTAACAACCAAACACAACAGCGAGACCGTATTCAATCTTACCAGTTGGACCACAATATAATCACATCAAACCTTACATAAGGACTATTCAATGTATTATCTCTAAACACCTATCACAATATGCTATACAAAATATGTATTAAAGACCTGTTACAATTAGCATTATTGATTTTTTATTAAAGTGTGTCATGATCAAACATGTATTCCATGTCCACACCATCTCACGTGAATTAACATTTTCCCAACAGAATGATAATTCTTGTAGAACATTTAAATATCCATAACTTCACAGCGTGCCATCACATTTACGCCAATATTTAACAATGCCATATTTACCAAGATGCACAGAACTTGTATAATTTTAGTAATATGTTAAGGAAAATAAATAGCAACCAAAAGATCGTACTCAAACATATATCAAAATAAGTTTTAAAGTAAAAAACTGATGTAGTCATGATATTCTTGAGATAGTGACTGCTGAACCAGAGCTATGAGGGTAATTAGTTATCTTGTCTCAAAACTGGGAAAATTCTGCTGCATTGGGACTTCAAATATTGTTGGAATAACCTCATCTCATGAAATGCTTCTGGGCAAGCACAAGCATTGTATAGAGAATGGCAAGAATTTGCTTTCACACGTTGCACTGAAAAACGTTTTAAGATGAGATTTTATAATGCAATAATTATTTTTGTTCCTTAAACTGACATTAATCAATGGGAAATGGTATTATGTAATATCTGTGCATAATCTAATCAATGCACTTTCTACACATATGTGCACGTTACACTCCGGCAATGAGATTCAATTGTCAGGGTCTGCCTGAAAAGGGTTAAATAAAAGTTAACGTTTAAAGAAATAGGGTAGTTGAATGCTTACGTCCTCTGAACTGATGAAGTTGGTTTCAGGAGAATAAGAACGTATTTTTAACATTTTTATAACACAAAAGACTGAAATGAAAAGAACTATAAATTAAGTTGCACTGGATTTCTGGGATATATGCTGCATTTTACAATAAATTTAGCATATGCATGATGTGAATGAAAACAAGATTTTATATCTATGCAGGTTATATTTAAAAAAATCCTAGATGGAAATATCCTAGATGGACTTTAAAAAAAGACATGTTTTTTATCAAAATAACTCGTTATCTTATAAGATTTAGACAACTTTATATGCAAATGGTACAATGCACTGTCATGCTTCCTACCTGACTAACCTACCCTAGATCAAAGACCTGGGACAAAGGTCCTGCTTGCCCATGCTTTAATCAGAGGCTGGCAAGTGATGGAGACAACGCACATCTATGATGCGGTTATGATGACAATTGTGCTCATACCCATGGTTGTCTTATATTCAGCTGTCCTGTCAGTTTGTCCATGTCCACATCATAAAACTCATCCCTTTAGTTTGTTTTATTACAATATGCCGACTCTTCACAGAAATAGGTCAGTCAGTGTAAGCATTTGTATGTGTATTGTTGATGGTTTCAGTACACTCTACTTTACATACGTATGCCTTCCTTGAAACTCAGTCAATGGACACTTTGACCAAAACAAATCCTGGCACCAAGCTATACTGAGAATGTTAATATTTAATAAAGATCTCTCGTTTCATTCTTTATTTTTGATGAAATTAGAAAATGTTACCTTTTGTATTGATCCAGTTCAGTATACAGTTATACTCTATGGCAGCTGTAGAAAGGCAAAGGAATGATAGCGTTACCACCTGCGTCACATTACACACGTTCAGGCTCATGACTAAATATCAACTCGGCCCTCATCTGTCTATTTGTGAATACAGTACAGTGCATATAAATGTGCAAACATACAGTTTGTCTTTTTAACATACATTTATATGAGGATATTGTTTCATCATACATTTGCAGGTAGGAATTTGGAACTAATTGTGGAATGGAACAAATGGTGAATTTATCTCCCCATATTTGATGTGGTGCTGCTGCTGTTGTAGAAGTATAATTTGGCCACTGTCCACCTGTGATCCTTTCTGGCAACATACTTTGTATTTTTTGCCCCAAGTTTTATGCAATGAAATATACAACATCGAAATATAGTTGAGAATGCATATTTTTTTCTTTCATTTCTGTAATTGTTACATTAAACAACCAACTCGGCCACAAACATTTAATCTTTCTTTTCTTTAACGTATGCTGCTAGAGCACATTGCTGATTCTATTGTGGCGAGAAAGCATACATACATGTCATCACTATTGAAATAACATGATTAAGTATATAAGCGTTTGTAGTATTTTATTGGAATGGATGTGAGGTGTGGGACATGGCGATTAAAGTTTGGGATCGTTTGAGGTAGGCTGGGTAGTTCAGAGGCCTGAGTTCTGCTGAGGTTCTGGGTTCACTTCCAGATAATCACCTGTATATATTCTGGGTTCTCAGGTGCAATTCGTTAATGCTATCAGTCGAATGACTACTCAAAACAACCATCAAATTAAATTAGGTTATTAACTTCATTTGGATGCATTACACCTCTGACATTTTAAAAAACGGTGTGACTGTCACGCAACGAATATGAATTACTCTTGTGTGACAGTGGGTGGGAAAGTGCTGTCTGCTGCTGTGTGGACCAGGTCACTTGAAATGTATTCAGATGTAGCTCTGGTTACCTGCTACTCTGGACCCTTCTCTACCATGAAGGGTTGCATTGTTGTGTGAGAAATTCAAATGGATACTTTGTATACCATTGACATGATACTGATAGCATAATTAGGCTACAATTGGAGAAAAAAAACGTTTGGAAATTAGCAGTTGCCATTCCACACCCAACATAAGAAACATGAACATTGAAACCTGGTGACCAACTTTTGATTGCTCGGAATTCCCTTCTGATTTTTAGGAATCTGAATTATTTTAAGTATATCGTTCTATTTCCTCCAAAAAATAGAGAGCCTTCATAAACTGGGTTACCAGCTTGTTAACTACAATATATTATTTTTACCAACTACACCTATTTATAGAAAACGTCCTGCTAACTTCATGTTCTGAGAGGTTCGAAACCCAGTTTAATTTCCAGTTTGATGTGGATTTTGGTTTGTATATTTTCCAGTTCCCATTGTAATATTCCAAAATAACATTCTACCAAAATATATTTAAGTTTCTAATATTTTCGGATTTTTTTTTAATTCTGACTTAAGTTTTTGTTTTCTTGGATTCTTCTTTGAACTTAATTTGTGTTTGAATACTCATTTGTTCCATTCCACAATTAGTTCCAAATTCTAGAGATGTATAATTCACCCCTCCACAAGCTGTATTAGAACCAGAGCTGGGATAATCCCAATGACTTTCCAGATGGAATGCCCATCGCTTTCAAATTGTTGGCAATACATATATGCACAAGCTGTGCAATTTGCAGCAGAAGACATGGTAATCTAAGCCAATCCAAGCACTTTGGATATTTACAACAAACTAATATCTTTGCATGTTCTTACACAAAGACAAGGCTCTAATTCATGTTAATACATAGTCCCTATATGTTGCAATGGAATGGTGTGCCAAAACCAGTATGTGCTTAAATGTGGCTTTACTTTAACCTGACAGCAGGTATCAAGAATGCCATTGTAAACTGTGACTATCTGTATAGAAGGCACATTACTGTTGCCATGCAGTTTCATGTGGACTATGCAAATGTTATAGATGTTGGCTTTTCCATTAAAACAGTGCAATTGTAAGTACTATACTGTATTGTTTATGTGTACATAGGTAATATGCGACAGAATTCCACAAAATATTGTAATGGAAGGCTAAACTGCATCAGGATTTATTTGTACAAATTATTTCAATGTGAACTGCAGCCATTTTAATCAGTAATAAGCCTTTTAATCTGTAAGCTATGCCCAGTGAATTATTTTGAAGTGAATGGGACATGACCCTGGTACTTATTGTGCAATTATTTTTCAAGAGGTTGCTAGGTGGCAGACATCACATGCTGCTCTGGTACCTTCTCTACCATGCTGTGAGAGATTCAAATGGATAATTTGTATCCCATTGACGTGATACTGATAGCACTACTGCACAACAGAAATGCATTCAGCTGTTATCCATTTTTCATTCCGAGGGTAGAAATATTCATAAAATTTCTCCATTTCATGACATTTGTCGATAAATTTCCCTATTTACACCCTCAAAGGATAAAATATAAACTGTAATAATTTGCTGCAACTCTAATCTGCGGTTACACATGGATGCCACTATCTTTAATCAAGTAATATGTCTTCCATATAGTGGCAAATCTGACATATATTGTACATGAGTAGCAGGGTCATGCCCTTTTCACAAGCAATTTCCATTGAAATAGCACTGTTTTAGGTTACAAAGTTATTAAACAAAAAATGACTGTTGAAATAACATTGTTGTACTGTGGCTCTCCAGATGAATATAAAAATCCCATCAATGAATTATATTTATTCCATTGATCATTGGGTAAGGTAAAGATACAAAAATACTTCCTAATTGCCTATTTCCAGTTAGATTAAGATATTTCGAAGGTGCTGTTGGTTATAAAAATTGGTCCAGTAGTTTAAATGACAATTAAAAATAACATTTAATTCAACGTAAATTTAAGTATGCATTTTGAGATTCCATCACGAAGGATTAGTTAACACCTACACAAGATGATCTAATTAATGTCTTTATTGGGGAGGAAGAGGGTGGTTGGGGAGGGAATTAAATGTCACATCAATTTTAACATTTAAATAGGGGAGGACCACAGGACCAGCACATGTGGAACTCGGGACTGCGGCAACGGTGGCCGAGTAGAGACCGCTGCCATCAGAAGGCCTCAGGAATGGCTCCTGCAGCTGCATTGCGTGCCGACTGCTGCACGTATGGGTTCTTCCAGGCACCAGTGGAGAACTCTTGCTGTGCCTTGCCCATGCTGCCGCCACCCCCACGGTAGAAGGTGTGCACCTGCCGTTGTGTGCAACAAGACAAAGCATCAGGCCTGCAAATGCATTTGGTAGCTTGGTCAAGACAAGCTCAACTTTTAGGGCTTTAATGATTTAACCAAAACATGGCTTTAGTGCGTGTATAACTTACATTGAAATAGTTACTCTAAAATTGGCGTTTTGTAATGTTTCTAAATATAGATATCACCAAATAGTATTTTATACAAAGCTGCAGTTATTCATTTATGTGCTTTTATAGTCAGAATTTGTAGTCATATTTTTTCTAATGACAAATTTAAATGACATAAAACAAATAATCAGAGGGCAGTTTAGAAAACTCCAAATGTTGTACTGTGATTATAAGTTGTACTGTGATTATATGTTGTACTGTGATTATATGCTGTACTGTGATTATATGTTGTACTGTGATTATATATTGTACTGTGATTATATGTTGTACTGTGATTATATGTTGTACTGTGATTATATGTTGTACTGTGATTATATGTTGTACTGTGATTATATGTTGTACTGTGATTATATGTTGTACTGTGATTATATATTGTACTGTGATTATATGTTGTACTGTGATTATATGTTGTACTGTGATTATATGTTGTACTGTGATTATATGTTGTACTGTGATTATATGTTGTACTGTGATTATATGTTGTACTGTGATTATATGTTGTACTGTGATTATATATTGTACTGTGATTATATGTTGTACTGTGATTATATGTTGTACTGTGATTATATGTTGTACTGTGATTATATGCTTCTGACTTCTCTGCTCCCCACCTTTACAATCCCACATGGCCTACATGGTGTGAGGATGCCCTCTTTCAGCAGTGGATTGATAAAATGTACGTATATATATCCATGTAGACTGATATATACACAATTTGATTCTATCCTGATTGCACTGTTGGAAGAGCACTGAAGGCAAAACTAGAGGGCTGTGACATGATATCCTGGTTCCTGCTTGAGATGGTGACTCAACCTATCATTTTTCCAGGGTCAAAGACACGAATACCACGTTGCTAGAAGTAAATCGTGGTTATCCTTGGGAGAGAATGACCCCTGCCATGAGAATGTGGAATTGACATTGCTGGCTCAAGACCAACAGCATAGGCGAGTGCTGCCACATGTCTTTTTTGAGCGGATACTTTGACTTCTGAGATGCATTGGAAAAAAATACTACTGTACGAAAAGGCAAAATAATTTAACATATCACTCAACTATTTTTCCACACACATACATTTTGTGAATCTTCCAAACTTACAAAATAAAACATTCACTCCAGAAGATTGTTTTTGCATCATGAATAAGCATTGAGAGTACTTTAGACATTTTTTTTTACAAACTCTGCAGTTGTAAAATCACGATCACGAGACATTTGAATAAGCATACTGTTCATCAGAAGACATTAATCATATTACTTAGTGTTAAAAAATATAACTGTGTCTCACCTTAATTAGAGCTAAAAAGGAGATTACAGCCAGCCCCGTGAACATGATTGTGGGAAACAGCATCACCACTCCTACACCTATGTTGGTGCCAAAGTAGGTGATGGTAGCTATCCATCCACTGCAGGAACAAAAACAAATCGCAACATTACAACACAATTCATTACACCAATACCCATTATGCTCTCCAGTTCTTTAGTATTCTGGTCATCACTCTATATTGTGCTGTAGCTTGAATGCCAATTATTATTATGTGAGATTAATGCTGTAAATCAGGAAAGTCACTCATTTAATTCCAAAAGGTGTAATGTTAAGGTTACATAACTGTGACAGTTTTATTATCTCTTAAACTAATGGATATGTGTATATATATTCTCAGCATGAAGAGGAAAGTATCAAACATATACAGTCCTACTTTTATTTTTAAAATAAACAGTATTGGGTATTTGTTGCATATCCTATACGAGAAAAGAAACATTCAACCAGGTGAATTGAAATTGGCACCGTGGGTCATCTCTACATTTATATACCAATTTGTAGGAAATCAACAGTGGATGTCCTGTGAATAGGCTGGAACCCGTGAAAGAAATCTGGAAGTTTGTAGAGACCTAAAAAAAATGCTCACAAAAACCAAAAGCTTAACAACATTCTACCACCTATATTTGAACAATACGTGACAAATGGAATAATAAGCCAAATTAATGTAATGCCATAGTTTCATAATCAAGCACAGTGGGAATATTCTTCTGCATCCAATGCTGTGCAGACAAATAAAGCAAATTCCAATTCTGTGAATACATTTGGACCATACAGAACACTAGTCTTATCCATGTTAATGTGGGGGAACCATATCACAGATCCTATTAATCATGGGGTTATTCTAAGATAGCACTCCTCTTATCTGGGGGGTAAAACATGAAAGCCCACGGGTAAAATGTACTTGCTGCACACAACTCCTTTTAACCAAGAAAACATAATGAATAGGATTGGCATTTAAATAGCGGTGGGAGGTCTGTTATGTGTTTCTGTGCTTCTATGTCTCTATCTCTCTCTGTCTTTATAATGTACACAAAAAAGTTGTGAATAAGATGCCATTCCGCAAAGATTTATGTGAAAAGTGATGGATAATAGTTGTGTGGATGCTTCAGCTACCAGGAAACAAGAGGTCGATGATAAGACCATGGATAAGAGGGGTTTCTCCTGTATTTGATTATTGGAAATGCATTAAGTTGGTTCCATAATTTCTACCGGGGTGAACATTAACTTTTCTCCAAGTCATCAATAAAAACAAATTAAATTCATAAAAACTGCATGTGGCCAATACTATTAAGGAAATTATTTAAATTGTTGCCATTGCTTGTACTGACTAGTCACATCTGCCACTGGAAATCTAAAACCCCAAACTGTCCCATTTAATAAATCAGAGAAATATAAACATGCATATTAAGGGATGCGTGGAGAGCAGTGGTACAGTGGTGAGTGCACTGCACTAAGAACCCAGTGATCCAAATTTGATTCCCACTCACGACCAATAACAGCGGAAAATATGAGAACCAGACTTGGGCTTGCCCCTCGGTCAACTCAGCCTTAAATTAGTACCTAGTGCAGTGTGTAAACATCAGCACTGGAGGAACGACGGCAGCTGGGCATGGTGCTGACCAATGACCGCACCGTGTTTCTGTGCCGGCCTAATAGGTGCCGTGCTCACAGCACTAGCTCAAACAGTCTAAGGTTAGATGGAGGATCTTTGTATTTTAATACAGCATCTACATGCATTACTTGAGATACTGTACATACACGAAAAATTGCATACTTGTAAAGCGCAACATGTATAATAACAGTGTTATTCTGAGACATTGTCTCTAACAATTATATTTGAGTTGGCATTACAAGGTACAATTTCACCTTAGGCTTGTACTTGAACAAAAATGGAGGTTAACACAAAACAGCATTATAATGAGCTGCACGTATCCTAATTACAACAAATTGCGCTGAACAAGAATACAATAATATCCCCTTGTATTGCTAAGTTGCACTGCTCCAAAGTAAAACATCTTTGTTGTTGAAATAAAAACAATAATGCATAAATGCATTACTACATAGTTATTAAATAATGCTAATTATATATGCACCAATACACAGCCATTTGCATAAAACTTTTTTTATCCTAAATACTGACAAGCACTTCTATACTTTTATGAAAGTGGGATAATTTAGGCTTTGAAATAAGCAACATAATTAACACAAATGGTTGTTATTCATTTTAAAAATGTTGGTGCCATTTCAACTATAACAAACTCACAACCAAACAGTGTCAAGGGGTTGAACATAATTACCATCATTTAACGAGCATACAAAAATAAGATTTATTCCAAACTACATTCTGAGTGAAGTAAAACTAGTATTTTACGCGATTATATTTTTTATTACAAGTCATAAATCTGTGAAGTGTATCATCTCGGCCAATCTTAAGAACACTGCTCGTATGCTCATTAGTGATAACTTATGGTTGACCCCAGAGCTCAGGTCATGCACACCACACTGCAAAGTTGCCTAGGACCTCACCCGCACATATACTTTACCAATAGCCACAGCCATTAAGTGCCAGTATGCTCAGGAAGAAAGCATCGGCCATCCTCGTTTGCTTGAGTGGAAAAATAAGTTACCGTCTTTGTTTCAATAAACACACGAATGCAGTCCTCAGGTAACAAATGTCTATACTCTTTGATTCTTTCGGTAAAATCGCGTAGGTATAAAATAAAATAAATTAAATCACGACGTTTCGATTGCAACACAAGCAATCATCGTCATGTCCTCATCATAATACTACTGAGCCAACAATTCTGAAATCCAGAATTGAAATTTCGCAATGACACTAGTGGTAGAATGATTAATCTCTCTGGCAATGTATGGATGGTAACGATTCAGTGATCAGATTGAATTGAATAATGTACTGTACATTGCACAATTATGGCGAATGGTAGGACCTCTAGTGGCAGCAGATCTCACGTGAACAAATATATAAATAAGACCTGAATCTGTATGTCTCAAAAACCTCAAGGATACTCCTGACAAGGTAGGAAGCTGAAATGTGGGTACATCAGTAGCTTTTCGGACACAAACAGCAAGAACATCTGAAAATCCGAGATTTTTCATTTTAAGGCCCCCAAATCTCGATTTGAAGTTCCAGTGCTTATTTTTCAATGGGCTGCGATCACCATGCCATTAGCAAGTGTAACTGGTAAATATGGGAAAACCTCGCCGAATGCAGGGGTTACATTCTTGGAAAATGCCATGTTGGGCAAAATCGTATTTGACAAATAATAGACCTTATGAGGAAAATAGGGCTTACAATCATTACCATGATGGTGGGCAGGCCTGTGTAAATCTGTGTGGCCGAGAGTGACAGCCATTCTCTGTTTACTTTGGGGTACGACAGGAATGCCCTCTTGCACCTCCAATATTTAACATTTGTTTGGACCACAGAGTTCTAAAAGCTTTCCATGGCTGTACCAGAGGAATTTATATCTGGTACAGGTACAATGGGAAGCTGATCGATGCCTGGATACAGTCAAGGGATGGCTCTTTATTTGTCAATCAAATGATGATCCTGATGACCTGTTAATTACTGCTCAATCTGAGTAGTTGGGAGTCTCTGCTGCTGAACCTTGAACGGCTACTAAGAGGTGGGGCCTTACCATCAGCCCCACAACTAAGCACATGCCTGGGTATTCTATATAATCAAACACTCCGCACCCCCTCAACTCCCCATGAGTGATGGAGCAGTTGTGGAGAGAATTAAGGAATTCCCATACTTGGACAAGTATGCTTAAGATTCGTTCCGGATTGGCAGCAGAGGTGTTGCTCCAATCAGTATTTTTATGAGTTGCATAACACTGTGCGAAAGCTACCAGCCACAGTTATGCCTTCCCTTCTCTAAACGTTTCACATGGCCTCAAAGTGCATCTAGCCTGACACAAGCACTATGGTAATGTCACCACCACTCCTTGGCAAAGGGCAGTTGTTTTAAGGCTAGCCAGTCAAATTGTCTAAGTAACATATTTATAGCCAAAGTAATTGGAAGTAAACGTAAGCTTATACATACATTATTTATCATATGAGTTACAAAAACTATGCTAAGATAAAGTCATAAGTCTGTAGTAACGTAACTATGAGAATAAAAAAAGAAAGGAAACTATTTACAAAAACTTTGTTAACAAAATGTTATGGGTCTGACACACAGGCTCATCCATGTGGGATTGCTAACGTAACACTTCTCAAAGGTAGAGAGTTCCAGAACCATTGCCCATAAGAAATACCACTGGGCAATGGTTTATGACACAAATATGCTGTCTAATAAAGAAACGACCGTTTTTTTCTCCCCAAAATCAACTGACTACACTAAAGTTTCCTGTGAACTTAACACAAATTAAACGAAAGACACCAATATAATTTGCCCACATCCTCTGTTATATTATATTTATTTTAGATGTGAATTGTGGAACTCCGGTTGTCACACATGACCATATGACCATATAGCTATTAAAGCATTAATATTCTACTTTTCAATTTTCACTGTATTAAGATATCCTATAAAGTTTGTGATATTTTTTTTAATAAAGATTGAATATAATATACAACGCAGCTTCACACTGATGTCAAGGAAATGACTCAGAGTAGAGTCCAATTAGACGTTGAATCATAGTCTGAATCAATTTGCAAGGTTTTGCTTTGCATTCCCTTATCACATCAAGTGTTAAAAAATAATTGTCAGTACATTTCACTTGTAATGCTTATCGTGTCATTTATTTTCATGATTAATGGGGTTATTTCTGTGTTATAATATTTATTGCCATTGACGCTCATTGTTGTAGCAACTGGCTGGACTTTCCAGCTTGCCAGATCAGGCTGGCATAGGTTTTACTGAGTTTACACACTTAAAGTGCTGCTATTACACACTCATACTGGCTCTTGTATTTTAAATAAATCCAAAACGCATTATAAACTGGTGCAATGAAGCCATCGAAGATCTGGTAAAATAAACATCTTCTGACATTCACAAATAAGTATTGGCCCAATGAATCAGGGTTGGCAATGTTATATGAACCACTAATGTCCCTGGAAAATGAGTAATGAATGCTGCCCTTACCATACTCCCCAACCAGGGATGCCCACTGCCTGGATGATGTTCAGTACCACTTGCCCGGAGAAGGTGAAGAAGAACAGCATGTAGTTGAAGGAGCTGTCACTCCTGAAAAGCAACCAGACAATTAACATATTGACATATTAAGGCAACTTCAATTACTGTTGAAGGTAAAAAAAAACGACAATTGAGCCAAGGTTGCCTGAGGGGTCATAGCATTGAACTGACAATGCTGAGATCATGGGTTCAACAATTTGGCAGTCTTGTTCCATTAATAAACGGCTGCACACAAAACAACCACTTACATATTTACAGATGTTTTTGCTTAATTGGCAAAATTCAAGCTCTGAAAATAAAAAAAATATACATTTTGATTTGACTTGTACATATCAGTCCTGATAATTATATTTTGAGGCTACAGTATAGGAAAATGTCAAGATTGAATAAAGTATAAATATAATAAATATAAACGTCTTACATGTCATAAATACAATATATCGCATTATTATAATGTATTTAGTAACTATACTGCATTCTACACTGTAAAAAAATATTCAAAAAAGTGAATAAAAACCACCAAATCTACATAAAATGTGTAAATCTATTGTATTGAACCAATGATGGTTTAAGTCTGAAATCTTGCAATGGTGTCCTATTGATGCAGCTGGGTTGTGCTGTGATAAAGTGCCTTGAATAACAATCAGAACGTTTTGGAATAAAAACCTCGGTGCAGGTCAACTTTGCTCATCATCTTTTCACAGTGGATAATATAAAAGTACGAGTTTGTGGAAAGTAAAACGTGGATGTCTCAGAGAATCTGGCACTAATCATAGAAATATTGAATTTCCACCATGGGCTCAGAACTACCAAAGGAGATTAACAATACCCAAGTCCCATTTAAGAAGAGCAACACACCGTGTTTGTAATGAGGGTCTAAATTGTGAAGTTAAACTACTGTTTCACCTGAAGCCTTTGTAGACAGCTCTAAACCAGCACACGTAGGAGCAGGGAGTGAAAAGGATCAGCCACAGGATGGCCAGTCCGAAGTTGACTGCACTCCCTCCACCGATTAACCAAGCCAGACATCCAATCAAATTCACCACCAGGGTAATACCATGCACTAGAGAAAACAACAGAGAAGATATTTTAAAGACATAGCATAGTTTGTACAGTGGCTATTTTGTAAGCTTGTAATGTTTGGATATATGTAGTGGTTGAAGTATTATAAAGGGCATCAGATGGAGGTGTCAAGATGACATTCAATGTTTGAAATATAGGGGTCCATCACAACATATAAGCATGTATCCTATAAGTAACGAAGTACTAGAATCGCTAGATTGCAGCACACGTAGGGGTCTCAGGTGAAAGGCATCACATTATCATTGGTTGCTTTAATTTAAGAGACGTGACAGCTTCACCGGTGCCGAGGGAAAGTTAGATACATTGCGATCTTATTCACCTCTCCTGACATTGTACGTGGGTAGAGAAGGTAATTCAACACAAATATGTTTTGCACGATAATGTGGCCCAGGTAGCACCCCAGTGCTTTAGGGTATTGGTATCAACCATATAGAGCAGACGTGTATCTACCAGACCTCGGTTCTGTCGGATGCAAATTCCTTCAAGCACCATTCCTCCACCCACCCTTATCGTGGAATTACAGATTATGTAGTTCAATCATCTTTCTTACAAACACTTGGGTCACCACTTGCAGTAGGTGTGGGCAAATAAGACTGTCAGAGGGATACTACCATTTTGGGATATAATGATATGGTTATAGTGCCTTACTGTGTGACTGAGGTAGTGTAAACACATCCTTTACAAAACAATTAACATTCCCCAGTGGACTGCTCGTAGAACAACTGTTCAAGCGGAAGCATTCGAGATCACACCACCACTTACTGATCCACAGGTAGTACAGCCGTTTGACAGACAGTCTGTGCGGCTCAGGGATATCCTCATTGAAGTCTTGATAAAAGCATGGCTTCAAGCGCACAAACTTTGGCAGTGGAGGAAAGTTGTTCACCCGTTCTAGATGGAGCACAGTTTTTCATGGTCATGTAAAATGGGGTTAGATTGGAAAATCGAGTCAAAGTTTGTAGCCTGCACAGATGAAATGTGTGGTTTCACAGTGGAAGATAATATCAATAAAGATGAAGGAAAGTGAATATATTTCCTCATTACACTTCCAATTGTAAATAACTAACCACCGCAGTGGTTGGCCAATGAAGTCTGTACATGCTGATGTTCATAGCTGGGTCTCCAGAAAACACCTTTGTTCAAATTTGAATGTGTGTTATGGATTGTACATTTATAATATTAATGTATATGAATACAAATATGAATGTATAGGAATAAAAATATTTCCTTGAAGCAGAAAACTGTAGTACCTCCTCTTAATTTATGTAAAGTAACAATGATATAGGACGAGGGTATGCAAGCATAAGTATTCATATATTATTTATGTTATCATAAATGTAAGTAATTGCGATAGAAAATAAACTGGACAACGTCTTTGTATCTTTGTAAAATTGTTTAATCATGACCACATTTGAAATATGCGATGTGGTTAGGTTATCAGTTGACAAAAAACATCCTCACCTGTCATGATGATCTCATAACCTGGTTACACCCAAAGTAGAAACGGTTGCAGTAAGGTTATACCTATAAAAAGACACACACACACATTTCAGTTTGGTCATTGTTTAGTTGGTTGACATATGTACCTTTACTCATGCAATGAAACATCTATACTATAAGCCATACAGTAAAGGTATCCCTCGATTTACAAATGTTCGGTTTGTACATGAGAGATGCAGCCATGTTTAGGAGGCATTCAATAAGAAACAATTGTAATTACTTGGACAAGAGTAAACATAACAAACACTAAAACAGCCATTAAATAATAAGGCAGATGAGTGGAAATTTACATTTGCAGGTTGGACCTATTTTTGGCACGAAAATGAGCTCAATGCACAAACTGCAAAGGTGCAAACATGTGCAACCACCAAGGGAAAATGATGACAGTACAGTGAACTAGCTACGGGGTGAGACATTACCAGCAATTAGTTTTAAATGGAACTACCATATATTACAAATAATTATAAAACACATAATTATAAAACACATTTAAACAAATGATAATTATCATCAAAGATAATTACCATTTGCTTAAATGTGCCTGGTTATAGATTATAATCTAGTTACATTGTAAATGTTTTTACGGCAGCGTAATACTATTTATTGTATTATTGAAAAGCTCCAAGAGGATCGATTGGGTCCATTGTCCTGTCTATACCTTTCACCTCCAAGGGGCAAGTGGTGAATCAGTGCAAATGAATAACTAAATACTTTCATTACAGTGCTATGAATGTGTTGTGTTGTAGACGGAGGTACTCGGAGACGGAGGTTGAGTTAGGGGCTTCCGCCAGGGTTTATTAACACTTATCACTAACCCTGGTTCCCTCTTTACCCTTTCCACTATCCCCGTTCCTCCAGTGACCCCGCTTACGTTACGGGGTCTCCCTTAAATACCCTAGGAGGGGTGACGTCACGTGCGCTGCCCAGCGCGTGCGACCCCACGTCCCGTGAGGTCACCGCACCGGACAGCGCACACGACGCCACCACTCTCCTCTACTCCTCTACAAATGTATACATTGCTTTTAAAATAATGAATCATTCCTACACGAATAATCCACAAAGTTAAGTATTCAGGCCCCTCTCCACCACGACCGATGTCAAGAAGAACCCACGAAGCTCCAGTACACAATCTTCTAGTATCCTACATTAGACGTTAGGATCCTTCAAACAGTCATAGGATGCGTTATCTTTCCAAGAGAACAATTCATCAATGAACAGTTCTAAATGTTGAGTTGTGATGGCATGCATTGCACATTTGCTCATGCAGTAGGCCAGTCTGGATACAATTTGGATATTAATTTGCCATTTCTAACCTTTCCCATATCATCTTCATCTATCTTCTTGGTTCTTTCGGTAAAGTCACGTAGAAGGGAAGTAATAAAATAATAAAAATAAAACATAATAAAATAAAATAATTCTCACGACGTTTCGGCTACAACGCAAGCAGCCGTCTTCAGGTGAAGAATGAGACACTACCAAACTAGGAGCTTATATATAAGCTGCGTTGAAGGTGGAAGAGTGCCTTAACAAAAAGAATGTGCATATGAAGAGGAATTTAGCATACTCGCCTTTCTGTGCCCCCTGCTCCAGCAACCAAGCTCTTTCTGTCGATATCCACTCAACCTCCACTCAAGAGGTCACTCCCTTTCCTATGTTTCTTTATCATTCCCACTGTTTCAAATCCCTCTTCCTCACACCTGAATTCATCTCCATGTTCAAGGCCAGACTTAAGACCTTCATCTTCTCCCCCGCCTCTCACTGTTTCCCTCTATCCAGAAGTGTAATTTGCCACTCGCTTCTATTCTCCATCCCCCCAGCCACATGTCTCTTAACCCACCTACAAAACAACCATTGTCATCGCAAAAATCCCTTTCCCTGATCTACCCTCCTTCCAAGCAATCATGATTCACATGTCAACTCTGCTTGTAGAGCATCTTGAGAATCATAAAGATGTTTTATGAATCATACTGTTTTGTAAATATATTACAAAAATCATTGTGAAATATTTGTAATGATTTTTCTAAAACAGAAACAGTCTACTAACTAGCATATGCTAGTTACTGCAATTACATAAGACAACATTTTGCACAATAAGATTTCCAAAACCTCACAGGGAAGGTGACTTATTTATAATATGGCTCAAAATGCGTTGGTTATCAGTGTTTCAGATCTGCTCCCATCTGTGAAGGATGTGATCCCTGACATGCAATACCCCGGCGTCTACAAACTAAGCTGTATCTGCAGCAGTAGTTACATTGGGGAAACTAAGCGAAATGTCTCGGACCGTGTTCGTAAACATAAGGCAGATCTGAAACACGGATGGACCAATACCGCAGCCGTGGCTGATCATTGTTTTAATGCGGTGGGCTCACACGAAATTGATTTCTCCAAGAAGAAGATACTCTGCAAACCCAATGGCTATCAACAAAGATTCGTAATGAAGCCATCCAGGTATATAAACACAGACACAATTTCAACCGAGAAGATGGGTACAAACTGAGCAATCATTAGAAGAACGTTATTAAGCAGTTTAAGTCCTAACTGGCTGTGATGTTTCCATCTTACCTTCCGATGTTAGCAGTTATTTTCGACTCTCTGATTTTACATTAACAGGTTCACACTAACACAGCCGCCATTGCTCGTGTCCTCGATGTGGCGACGGCGGCTCTGCGATCTTACATTCACATGCTAATCTCTCACAATACAATGGCCACCTCCGTGCCCTTATCGTGGAGGTAGCTCACAGATCTTACATTTACATGCAAATTTATTACTTTAACATCACGAGCCCCGCCCATTTCGTTTATGACCCTTGAGCTACACCCATTTCAAACCTTTAAAACAGCTTTCCTCAGCAGCTTTCCCCCATCTTTTTACACGCTTTCTATTAACTCACTCTATCTGTTGTTGTTCTCGTATCCTCAAATCTTGTAACTCAATTTTAACCCACTTCCCAATGTGGTATCGACTGAAAACTTATTTTTTATATGTTGTGTTTCAGCTTAGCTCTAATTGTCCACGTTCAACTGACGTTGGCTGTAAATCACCACGGCCCCTTACGTTGTGGCAAGCATTGCGGCCACTTCCTGGAGTCGTGGAGTTCTGCCATTACGAGTACGGTACATTTCATTGAAGCGTGTTTATCCTGATGAAGATTGCTTGTGTTGCGATCGAAACGTCGTGATATTTTTATAATTTTTTATTCACTTTATTTTCATTTTCATTGTATATTTATAATTTTATTGTTATTATTTTTTCTATCTATGTGACTTTACCGAAAGACCCAAAGAATAGTGACAAGCTTACACGGCAACACAGAGATAATAATATGAAGCTATCTGCTTCCAAAATCTGTGATGTTTACATTACATTGCACACGAGATGGTTATCAGTATATAAACTTATCCAAAATTGGCAGTAGCCTAGATGCTAAAACTAAATATAGCATTTCGTGATTTCTTATCACCTATAATGAGTTGTCAGAAAATTAATTATCTTTGAGAACACACTTCTGTATTACATCAGTCTCTTTCCATAAATGGCCATCATTCTATGAAGGAGGTCAATGAGGTTATCACAGCTTGGTATTACATTTTACTTTCATTGACGCTTTGGCAAAATGTTAACTAGCTCGCTTGGTATACTGGAGGTTGTGGGTTCGATCCTGACTGTTTATTTGGAGTTTGCATGGTCTCCCCGTGGTTGCATAAATGTTTCTCCGGGTCATCTGGTTTTTCTCTCCACATTCAGACACATACGTTGGAAAGTATTTGGCTGCTATAATTTCCACATGATAAGCCAATTCATTTGGCTATTATTTGTGACCAGGTCGCTTCTGAAAAAGAGCTATATATCTCATGAAGCCTTACCTGGTAAATAAAAAAACGTAGTTAAATACATTTTACCTATTATAATCACCCAGAAATGTCTGTCCGTCCCGCGCGTGACGTCACTTCACACGAGGCCCCACCCCCCTCATTCATATTCATGAGTGGGTGGATTTTTACACTAATGCAGAGGAAGGTCGAGCTGAATTAAATAATTACTTATGCAAAGTCGCTTCAAATATGACGTTTCTTTACAGAAAGTGATGGTAAAAAAAAAAAATCTATGCAGCACAGTGCTACATCCGTGCGTGACGTCACTGCGAAAGAGACCCCCCCCCTTCATTAATATTCATGTCTGCGTGGAAATTTACACTAATGCACAAGAAGGTCGCGCACTCCACATGCTGCACCCCTCCCCAATAACCATTAGCGGGTGACGTCATTCCACATGGGGCAACGCCCCCCTCATTAATAATGATAAGCTGAACAATTTTTCTATTGAATATTTCAGATGTACTGCAATATATACCCGTCCTTGGACAGGCAAAAAAGCTAGTAGTTATATAGTTGACACCAGACTATAATATCACTTTATCCTACAAATGGTCTCAGGTCTTATTCAGGATTCATCACGGGGTGTCCACTTTAATGCCTATCAAAATAAACTGTCACCTTCAAATTACCTGTCCTAAACGGCCATCCTACCCATGACCGTCTTTCTACAAGGCCAATACTTTACTCTCTTCCCATGAGTTTTCTTCCAGACACATTTATCAAATGCCAACAGATTATTTTATGCCTGACTTATATGATATAAATAACGTATAGAATGTAAATAATAACTATATTCCTATTTAAATGCTTATATAGTAGCGGAAGTATCCAAGCTAACTAACGGTCGCCTCCACACACACCCGTGCGTGACCCCCCCATGGCTCTTCAACAACAACCGCCACTGGCGGTGACGTCACCACGGTGCTTATACCATGCTAAGTGCACTTTGAAGTCAAGTGAAGTGTTGAAGGCCCGCTGGCAGGAGGTCGAGGAACAAACCCAGGTTCCATGGGTTGACTGACTGAGATGACTGGCAAATGCAGCAACTGTGCTCCCCACTATGCCAACTGTATGCATTTTTGTAGGCCCGGCACTCTGCTCATTGTTGCTCCTCTGCCCTCCACTGTTGTTGGAGGGCGACTG